GTGACACCCTTGCTCCTGCTGGGACACGTTCAGTCCCTTTGGGGACACCCTCTGTCCTGCTGGGGACACTCTGTCCTCGGTGCTGTTGGGGACATTTTCGCTCCTGTTGGGGACACTCTGTCCTATCGGGGACACCCTCAGTCCTGTTGGGGTCACCCTCAGTCCTGTTGGGGACATTCTCAGTCCCTTTGGGGACATTCTCGGTTCTGTTGGGGACACCCTCTGTCCTGTTGGGGACATTTTCGCTCCTGTTGGGGACACTCTTGGTGCTTTTGGGGACACCTCTGTCCGGTTGGGGACACTCTCAGCCTGTTGGGGCCACCCTCAATCGCTTTGGGGACACTCTCAGTCCTGATGGGGACATTTTTGCTCTTGTTGGGGACACTCTCAGTCCTGTTGGGGACACTCTCAGTCTCGTTGGGGCCACTCTCAATCCTTTTGGGGACACTCTCAGTCCTGCTGGGGACACTCTCTGTCCTGTTGGGGACACTCTTGGTGCTTTGGGGGACACCTCTGTCCTGTTGGGGACGCTCTCAGCCCCTTTGGGGACATTCTTGGTCCTGTTGGGGACACTTTCACTCCTATTGGGGATATTTTTGGTCCTGTTGGGGACATTTTCAATCCCTTTGGGGACACTCTCAGGGCTGTTGGGGACATTTTTGTTCCTGTTGGGGACACTCTCAGTCGTGTTGGGGACATTCTCTGTCCTGTTTGGGACACTCTTGGTGCTTTTGGGGACACCTCTGTCCGGTTGGGGACACTCTCAATCCCTTTGGGGACACTCTCTGTCCTGTTGGGGACACTCTTGGTGCTTTGGGGGACACCTCTGTCCTGTTGGGGACACTCTCAGCCCCTTTGGGGACATTCTCGGTCCTGTTGGGGACACTTTCACTCCCATTGGGGACATTTTTGGTCCTGTTGGGGACATTTTCGCTCCCGTTGGGGACACCTCTGTCCTGTTGGGGACACTCTTAGTCCTGTTGGGGACCCTCTCTGTCCTGTTGGGGACACTCTCAGTCCTGTTGGGGACATTTTCGGTCCCGTTGGGGACACCTCTGTCCTGTTGGGGACACTCTCAGTCCTGTTGGGGATCCTCTCTGTCCTGTTGGGGACACTCTCCGTGCCGTTCCCTCAAAGACCCGGGCAATGTCCCCCATCCCCCCGGCTGCCTCCGAGCTTTCAGCGCTTCCTCCCCTCCTCCTCCTCCTCCTCCTCCTCCTCCTCCTCCTCCTGCCGCGGGAGGAAGGCGCTCCCCTCCCCCGCCATCTGCGCCCCCCGCTCGCTGTCAGCGCCGCAGGAATGCGGATTCATTTCGCCAGGAATGTCACCCCCCGCACGGCCCGAGCCGTCTCCTCCTCCTCCTCCTCATCCTCCACCCCCTCCCCGGGACCCCCCCAGCTTTGGGGACCCCTCGGGGGGGGGGCTCGGGGGGCGCCGCTGCCGGGCTGTGTGATGGAACGCAGGCTCGGCGCCTGATTAAACTCATCAGAAGGGGATTTTTAAAATTATTTATTTATTTTTTTATCTTAGGGTGTTTGGATCCGTTGGAGTTTCACCTTAAAAGGAATCTGTCGCCTTCAGCAGAGGAGGGGGCCGGGGGTTTTTCGGGGGTTTCTCGGGGGGAGGAAGGCAGCTCCATGTCGGCTTCTTATCGCTCCTGGCTCTGAGCATCCCTGGGCACGGGAAGCCCCGAGCTAAATCGGGCACGGCGTGATGCTGAGCACCCCCGTGGGTGCCAACCGTGCCAGGGCCAGCCGAGTCACCGCGTGCCCTGTCCGGCGGTGACTCAGCCCTTTGCCAGGCATAAAGGAGCTCGTTCTTCCAGCCGAGCGCTGATTTATGCGCCTCTCCCCACGCCCGGCTGCACAACGGGGCGATTGAGCCCCTCGCAGCCCCCCTGTGCCCACTGCCCTCCGGTTCGGGGGGTGCCCATGGGGTTCTGGTGGCTCCCAGAGTTGGGATGTGGGGCTGGTTCAGTGGGCACGGTGCCCACATCGAGCTCGGGGCACTGCCAGGCTGGGCAGGGTTGTTCTGGGTTGGCATCCCGGCCACTGCTGTTGGCAGGCCAGGAGGAAACCGGGGGAACTCATGGGCAGCAGCGAGCCTTGAGTGGTGTCTGTGGAGCTCCAGGGTGGGGGAGGAGCGCCTCGGGGGGTGACAGGGGTCTGGGGGTCGGGGAGCATCGCAGAGGGATGGGGTCTGTAAGCCCAGGGGGCTGCATCGCCATGAGAATGGGGGAAAATCCTTCTGGGGGCTGCATCAGCCTGGGAATGGGGGAGAATCCTCCTGGGGGCTGCATTGCCCTGGTAATGGGGGAAAATCCTCGTGGGGGCATCACCCTGGGAATGGGGGAGAATCCTTCTGGGGGTATTGTCCTGGGGGCTGCAGCACTCTGGGAATGGGGGAACATCCCTCTGGGAGCATCGCCCTAGGAATGGGGGAACATCATCCTGCGGGAATCACCCTGGGAATGGAGAAGAATCCTTCTTTGGGGCATTGCCCTGGGGGCTGCATCATCCTGGGGATGAGGGAGAATCTCCCTGGGGCATTGCCCTGGGAATGGGGGGACATCATCCTGCGGGAATCACCCTGGGAATGGAGGAGCATCCCCCTAGGGGCATTGCCTTGGGGGGCTTCATCACGCTGGGAATGGGGGAACATCCCTCTGGGGGATGCATCAGCCTGGGAATGGGGGAAAACCTTCCTGGGGCATTGCCCTGGGGGCTGCAGCACTCTGGGAATGGGGGAACATCCCTCTGGGAGCATTGCCCTGGGAATGGGGGAACATCCCCCTGGGGGCATTGCCCTGGGAATGGGGGAGAATCCTCCTGAGGGCATTGCCCTGGGGGGCTTCATCACGCTGGGAATGGGGGAACATCCCCCTGGGGGCTGCATTGCCCTGGGGATAGGGGAACATCATCCTGGGGGTGTCACCCTGGAAATGGAGGAGAATCCTCCTTTGGGGCATTGCCCTGGGGGGCTTTATTGTCCTGGGAATGGGGGAACTTCCTCTTGGGGACATTGCCCTGGGGGCTGCGTCACCCTAGGAATGGGGGAATCTCCTCCTGGAGGCATTGCCTTGGTGGGCTGCATTGCCCTGAGAATGTGGGAACATCATTGCCCTGGGATCTGCACCACCCTGGGAATGGGGGAACATCCCCCTTGGGGTATCACCCTGAGAATGGGGGAACATGCCCCTGGGGATTGCATCAGCCTGGGAATGGGGGAAAATCCTGGTGGGGGCATCACCCTGGGAATGGGGGAACATCCCCTGGGGGCATTGTCCCGGGGGGCTGCATTGTCCTAGGGGCTGCATCACCCTGGGAATGGAGGAGCATCCCCCTGATGGCATTGCCCTGGGATCTGCACCACCCTGGGAATGGGGAAAAATCCTCCTGAGGGCATTGCCTTGGTGGGCTGCATCATCCTGGGCGCTCCATCACCCTGGAAATGGAGGAACACCCCCCTGATGGCATTGCCCTGGGGGCTGCAGCACTCTGGGAATGGAGGAGAAACATCTTGGGGGTTGCAGCACTCTGGGAATGGGGGAAGACCCTCCTGGGGCCATTGTCCTGGGGGGCTGCACCACCCTGGCACTGGAGGAGCACCCTGGGGTGGCAAACAGGTTACAAACCCTGCCCACCCTCTGCCACCCTCCCTCCATCAGCTCCTGGTTGAGCTCCAGGCCCTGCTCAACCAATTCCATGGCCCTGGGGGGCTGCACCACCCCAGGGATTGTGGCCATGAAGCTCCAGGGCTGTGCATTGTCCCAGAGATGGGGCAGCACCATCCCACCCACCCTGCACCCACATCCTGCCCCCAGGATGCCCACCAGGGCACCATCCCAGCCCCAACCAGCCTGGAAATGCAACCTGAGAGACCCTCCATCAGTGCCCTGCCCTGCCCTAGAGTGAGGAGAGCCAGCCCTGAGGGGAGGATGAGGCTTTATTAAATTAATTTTGGGTACATCCAGCATGGCTCAGCCCCCAGGGTCAGGCTGGGGAGCCTGGGGTGATGTACCCCAAAATGCCGAGTCCCAGGAGGGGTTTGGGGGTGTCCCTAAGCTCCAGCTGGGCATCCTGGAGGAATTGGAGAGGAAATCTTGCAGGCAATGAGGAAACACAGAGTTTAAATTAAATACAGCAGAGCAACCCACCCAGGAGGAAACTGGAAATGAAGAGGGGGTCCCAGAGCAAACATGAGAGTTTGGGTGGGCTGTGAGGGGTGCAACAGAACTTGGGGGTTCTCCACTCTGAAAAGGGGTGCAAAAAATCCACACAAACATGTGAAAAACCCAGGGTCAGCCTGGGGTGATGTAGCCCAAAATGCTGAATCCCAGGGTGCAGTTTGGGGGAGTCCCTAAGGTCCAGCTGGACATCCTGGAGGAATTGGAGAGGAAATCTTGCAGGGAATGGGGAAACACAGAGTTTAAATTAAACACCAGGTGGGTTCCTCCAGGCAACCCACCCAGGAGGAAACTCAAAATGAAGCAAGGATCCCAGAGCAAACATGAGAATTTGGGTGGGCTGTGAGGGTGCAACAGAACTTGGTGGTTCTTCACTCTGAAAAGGGGTGCAAAAAATCCACACAAACATGTTAAAAACCCAGGGTCAGCCTGGAGCGATGTAGCCCAAAATGCTGAGCCCCAGGGTGCAGTTTGGGAGTTTGGGGGGGACCCTAAGGTCCAGCTGGACATCCTGGAGCAAATACTGGAGGAATTGGAGAGGGAAAGTTGCAGGGAATGGGGAAACACTGAGTTTAAATTAAATAGTAGGTGGGTTCCTCCAGGCAACCCACCCAGGAGAAAACTCAAAATGAAGCAAGGATCCCAGAGCAAACATGAGAATTTGGGTGGGCTGGGAGACAACAAAACTTGGTGGTTCTTCACTCTGAAAAGGGGCGCAAAAAATCCACACAAACACGTTAAAAACCCACAGGGAGACGGGGAAGCATCAGGACGGGGTGGGATAAGGGGGAACAATGGGGGGTCCTGGCAGGAAGGAGCCACCAGAAGGTTCTGTCACTCGTCCCCTGAGGAGCAGGGCTGCTGCTGGGCTGTGAGGCTCAGGACATCCTCCTCGCCCAGAGCAGGGGACACGGGGCTCAGCTGCTTCCCCCTGAGGCTGCCATCCCCCAGCTTGGTGGCACTGCCATCCCCAGGGCTGGGGATCTGCACTGGCACCATCCCCGAGGGCTCTGAGGGGGTTTCCTGTGCCGGGGCCGTGCTGGAGGTGCCGTTCAGCAGCTCCTCGGTGAACTCGGGCAGCTCCTCCAGGCTGGGCGGGCGGTGCAGCCCGTTCTGAGCCCGGAGCTCTCCCTCCGGGGCCTCCTGCACTGTGGGCTCCTCCTCGCTGGAGGAGGACAAGGAGGAGCCTTCCTCCTCATCCCGGGACAGCTCGGGGTCTTCCTCTGCATCCCTGGGGAGTTTGGGGTGTTCCTCTGCATCCCTGGGGAGTTTGGGGTGTTCCTCTGCATCCCGGGAGAACTCAGGGTGTTCCTCTGCATCCCGGGAGAGCTGAGAGCCTTCTTCTGCATCCTGGGAGAGCTCGGGGCCTTCCTCTGCATCTCGGGGGAGTTTGGGGTGTTCCTCTGCATCCCAGGAGAGTTTGGAGTCTTCTTCTGCATCCTGGGACAGCTCGGGGCCTTCCTCTGCATCTCGAGAGAATTTGGAGTCTTCCTCTGCATCCCGGGAGAGCTTGGGGTGTTCTCCTTCACCCTGGTAGAGCTCAGAGTCTTCCTCTGCATCCCGGGTGAGTTTGGAGCCTTCCTCTGCATCCCAGGGGAGTTCAGAGCCTTCCTCTGCATCCTGGGAGAGCTGAGAACCTTCCCGAGCATCCCGGGAGAGTTTGGAGTCTTCTTCTGCATCCCGGGAGAGCTGAGAGCCTTCTTCTGCATCCTGGGAGAGCTCAGGGTGTTCCTCTGCATCCTGGGAGATTTTGGAGCCTTCCTCTGCATCCTTGGAGAGCCAAGAACCTTCCTGAGCATCCCGGGAGAGTTTGGAGTCTTCTTCTGCATCCCGGGTGAGCTGAGAGCCTTCTTCTGCATCCTGGGAGAGTTTGGAGCCTTCCTCTGCATCCTTGGAGAGCCGAGAACCTTCCCGAGCATCCCGGGAGAGTTTGGAGCCTTCGTCTTCATCCTGGGAAAGCTGAGAGCATTCCTGGGCATCCAGAGACAGCTTGGGGTGTTCGCCTTCACCCTGGTAGAACTCAGAGCCTTCCTGGGCATCCCGGGACAGCTCGGAGTGTTCCCCTCCATCCCAGGACACCTCAGGGTCTTCCTCTGCATCTCGGGAGAGTTCAGGGTGTTTTCCTCCATCCCGGGAGAGTTCAGGGCGTTCCTCTCCATCCCAGGAGAGTTCAGGGTGTTCTCCTCCATCCCGGGAGAGCTCAGAGCATTCCTCTCCATCCCGGGAGAGTTTAGGGTGTTCTCCTCCATCCCAGGACAGCTCTCTTGTGCCAGGACCCTGCCCAGCCTCTGCCACCCTCCCCTCCATCAGCTCCTGGTTGAACTCCAGCGCCTGCTCAACTATTTCCAGAATCCCCGAGGCTTCCATGATCTCCACGGGCAGCTCGGCTGTGTCAGGGATGTCTGGGGTCACCTCTGGAGAACCTCCCTGCCCCAGGCTCCCACTGCCCAGGGCTCCCTCCTCCTCCTCCGTGCCTGGCTGCTCTTCCAGGGGCTGCTCTGCTCCATCAGGCCCTGCCTGGGCCTGGAGCTCTGCTGGGGCCTTGGTTGGGTCATGGGGAGCCGTGCTGGGCTCATCCTCATCTTCCTTCTCCTCCTCTTCCTCCTGCCCTGCCAGCCCCAGGGTCCTGGCATCCCCCTCCAGCTCAGCTGTGCTGTGGAGCTCCTCATCTGGATCTTCTGGGTGCTCTGGTCCCTGCCATGCTGTGGCACCCTGGGCTGGCTCACCAGAACCTCCTGATGGTGGTTCCACCACCCCAAGGCAGCTGAGGTCTTCTTCTGGGCCTTCCTCCAGCTCAGCAGTGTCCTCTTCATTATTTGGCACCTCAGGTTCCTCAGTGGGCACCTCCATGTCCTCATCTGCTTCAGCAGCCAGAAGTTCTGGGTGCTCTTCTGCAGAGCCTGTGGCACCCTGGGCTGGCTCACCAGAACCTCCTGATGATGGTTCCATCACCCCCACAGAGCTGGGGTCTTCTTCTGGGCCTTCCTCCAGCTCAGCTGTGCTGTGGAGCTCCTCATCTGGATCTTCTGGGTTCCCTGGTCCCTGCCATGCTGTGGCACCCTGGGCTGGCTCACCAGAACCTCCTGATGATGGTTCCACCACCCCCAGACAGTTTGGATCTTCTTCTGGGCCTTCCTCCAGCTCAGCAGTGCCCTCCTCATCCTCCGGCACCTCAGTGGGCACCTCCATACCCTCATCTGCTTCAGCAGCCAGAACTTCTGGGTGCTCTGTGCCCTCCTCTGGCCCCGCAGATGCTTCCCCAGGAGCCCCCAGACCATCTTGGCCGCCTTCAGCTGCGTCCACTTGAATTTCTTCAAAGTCCTCAGGGATCTCAGCTTCCTCTGAGCTGGACAGCTCTTGGCCGGGAGCAGAGACCATGAAATAACCTTCCTCTTCTTCAGCCTCCTCTTCTTCCTCTTCAGGGCTGTCTGGCACGCTGGCAGTTGGTGGCTGGTCCCTCGCTTTGCCCTGCTGGGCTGTGGCACACACAGGAGCTGTGCCCGTGGTGTCCTCGCCCTCTGGAGGGTCTGGGCTGGGTGTCCCCATCAGCATCTCCTGCTGGTAGAGGTGCAGGGGGGTGCTGTCGGGCAGGGTGTCCTCCAGCTCCACCCTCCTGCCCGTGCCCACTGCCAGCTCTGGGGTTCTTGGGGTGTCCTCCAGTGCCCACTCACTTGGCACCTGCCCCGGTGCCACCAGGCCTGAGCTCTCCAGTTCTGAGGGCTCTGTGTCTTTGGGGGTCTCCTCCAATGCCCACTCATTGTTCTCACCTGGCACCTGCCCTGGCGCCACCAGCTCTGTGGGTTCTGTGTCTCTGGTGGCCTTCTCCAGTGCCCATTCAGCACTGGCACCTGGCACCTGCCCCAGCTCCCCAGGTTCTGTGGGTTCTGTGTCTCTGGTGGCCTCCTCCAGTGCCCACTCAGCACTGTCACCTGGCACCTGCCCCAGCTCCCCAGGTTCTGTGGGTTCTGTGTCTCTGGTGGCCTCCTCCAATGCCCACTCAGCACTGTCACCTGGCACCTGCCCCAGTGCCACCAGCTCTGGGCTCTCCAGTTCCCCCAGCTCAGTGGGTTCTGTGTCTCTGGGGGTCTCCTCTAATGCCCACTCATTGTTCTCACCTGGCACCTGCCCCAGTGCCACCAGCCCTGAGCTCTCCAATTCTGGGGGCTCTGTGTCTCTTGGGGTCTCCTCCAATGCCCACTCACTGCTGGCACCTGGCACCTGCCCCAGTGCCACCAGCTCTGGGTCTCTGGGGGCTTCGTCCAATGCCCACTTGCTGTTCTCACCCGGCACCTGCCCCGGTGCCACCAGCTCTGAGCTCTCCAGCTCTGCCAGCTCTGTGTCTCTGGGGGTCTCCTTCAGTGCCCACTCAGTGCTGGCACCTGGCACCTGCCCCAGCTCCCCTGGAGCCTCTGCCAGCTCCTGGCTGTGCCCAGGGGCACCTGGAGGGGTTGGCTCAGGCTGTGCCACGCTGCCCAGCTGCTGCCTCATCTCCTGGCTCCTGGCATCTCCTTCGTCATCCTCTTGGGCCTCCTCCAGCTCTGCTGGCCCTGTGCCACCTCTCTGCTCCCTTTCCAGCCTTCCTGCACTGCTCAGGGTGTCACCTGCCCAGGCTGGCCCCAGCACCCCCTCAGTGTCCCCTGCTGTCACCTGCCAGTCCTCTTGGGCACTGCCATGGTCACCCTCCTGTGCCCAGGGCTCCTCTCCTGGCTCCAGCTCCTCCTGTTCCTCCTCCTCGCCTTCCTGCAGCTCCTCAGGCTCCTCTGGGGCTCTGCTGTCCCCCTCCAGGGTCTCACCTACCTCTCCTGCCCCAAGGTCTTCTCCTGCCCCATGGTCTTCTCCTATCTTGGAGCCTTCTACCTTGGAGCGTTCTCCTTCCCCAAGAAGTTCTGCCCCAAGATCTTCTCCTGCCTCAGAGCCTTCTCCTACCTTGGAGCCTTCTCCTGCCCCATGGTCTTCTCTTGCCCCAAGATCTTCTCCTGCACTAAGATCTTCTGCCCCAAGAACTTCTCCTGCCCCATGCACTTCTCTTGCCCCAAAATCTTCTCCTGTCCCAGAGTCTTCTTCTGCCCCAAGATACTCTGCCCCAAGATCTTCTGCCTCATGGTCTCCTGCCCCAAGAACTTCTGCCTCAGAGTCTTCCCCTGCCCCAAGATCGTCTCCTGCCATGGGGTCCTGTCCCACCTCGTGATCCTCCTCTCCCAGCACCTCCCTGCTGGCCTCTCCCTTTTCCCCCTCCCCATCTCCCCCTCTGCCTGTCCCCTCCCCTGCCCCAGCATCTCCTCCAGCTCCCGTGGGAGGTTCTTCAGCTGGGATGGCCTCAGGGACACCCGAGGGCTCCTGCTCTGGGCACAGCTCCTGCTCCCTTCCCTGCTCTGCAGCCAGGTCCACCTCACACCTGGGCATTTTGTGCTGCTCAGCCCTTTCCTGCCCTGCATCAGCAAAGTCCTGCTCCAGGTGACCTTCTGTGGGCAGAGCCAGGTGGCTTTGCACGAGGACAGCACCAGCAGCCTCCACTTCTCTGTGGGGACATTCCTCCTCTTGCACATCTGTTCCTTCCTGCTGGAGATCTCCCTTGTCCTCCTCCTCATCCTCGGAGGGGTGTGAAGGCTCCGTGCTGGGGGTTTGTGTCCTTTGCTCCTCTGGCTTTTCCCAGCTGCTCCCTGTCTGCCCAGGCAGATCCTCATCCCCTTCCTGGGCCTCCATTTCTGCATCCCTTGGGCTCAGCACAGCAGGAACCTCCTCCTCTTCTTCCTCTTCCTCCCATGCTCCCAGATCTTCCTGGCTCCCCAAGGGAGGGTCCACGCTTGGTGGGGATGGAGCTGTGTCCTGCAGGGTGCTGCTCTCCTTAGCCAGCCCCTGGAGCATCACCTCCTCAGCTCTCTCCTCATCCTCAGATCCCTCCTGCCCTTCCCCAGGCCCCTCTGGCACAGCCTGGGTGGGGAAAACAGGGCTGGGAGCACGGACATCCCACGTGGAGCTGGGTGTGGGCTCCTCTTGGGGCTGAGCATCATCTCCCATCTCCTTGAGGGCATCCTCCAGCGCCTCGCTGACCAGCTGGGCCGGGTACTGCAGCCTGTGGGCATCTCTCAGGGGCTGCAGGCTGGCACTGCCACTGTCCCCAGAGGCTCTGGGCAGGGCACACTCCATCCCTGGGCTCATTGCTGCCTCATCTGCTCCTGGCCAGGCTGGACCTTCCACCCCAGAGCTCTCCTGCTCGGGGGAGAGGGCAAGGGAGGCTCTGCCTGCCTGGGGTGGGCTGGGTGTGAGAGCCCCCAGCCCCCTCACCCTGCTGGCAGCACTGCCATGGAGGGCTGGGGTGATTTTCTGGAGCTCCCTGGTGATTTGGGGTGTCAGGGTGGCACTTTGGGGGTGTTTGGTCACCCTGGGGAAGGGGGTGCAGGGCAGAACACGCCTGGCCTCAGGGCTCACTGCTGATGCTTTGCTGCTGCTCAGCTCCAGTTTGAGATCTGAAAAGAGCAAGGAGGAACCGTGAGCCTCTCCCAGCCCTGCCCTGGCTGCCTCTCAATGCCTCCTCTCCTATTTTTATTTTTAACCAGCTCCTTCTTGGAAAGTGGGAAATTCCTCCCTCCTGATGCTGCTGCTCCCGGGGGATTCGTGCCCAGCTGTCGCAGACATCTTTTATGGAAAATCCTTTCCTTAGGATTTTTCCTCCTGAGAAGCTGAGAGGCCTCAGGGACAAAATGAAAACAATGGTTATCTGCTGCTGTGGAATGCAACAGGTGGATCTGTGATTAGCCCATGTTGATTGTTTCTAATTAATGGCCAATCACAGTCAGCTGGCTCAGACTCTCGGTCCCAGCCACAAACCTTTGTTATCATTCTTTCTTTTTCTATTCTTAGCCAGCCTTCTGATGAAATCCTTTCTTCTGTTCTTTTAGTATAGTTTTAATATAATATATATGATAAAATAATAAATCAAGCCTTCTGAAACACGGAGTCAGATCCTCATCTCTTCCCTCATCCTCTATGAACACCATCACACCCAGCTGCAGCCACAGGTGTGCAGATGACAAAGCTTTCCTTGGGATTTTCATTTTTGTTTGGTTTGTTTTGAGGAAAAAGGAAATGCTCAGCTTGTTAGCACAGCCCTCCGTCCTGTGCTGCCCTTCCCATGAAAGGAAGGGAATTAAAAACGAGGCAAAGGAGCAGATAAGGCTGGTGAAGGAGCAGATAAGGCTTATCTGGGCTGTGAGCCCCGTGCCAAGAGCCCCCTGGTCGCTGTTCACACCTTCCTATCACTGCCAGGAAAATGCAGGGAAATGTGTCTGAATCCACATTTAAACACATCTAACCTCCCCAGGAAAATGTGTCCAAATCCACATTTAAACACATCTAACCCTCCAGGAAAATGTGGCTAAATCCACATTTAAACACATATAAACCTCCTCAGGAAAATGCAGGGAAATGTGTCTAAATCCACATTTAAACACATCTAACCCCCACCAGGAAAATGTGTCTAAATCCACATTTTCCCTCCCCAGGAAAACGCAGGGAAATGTGTCTAAATCCACATGTAAACACATTTAAACTCCCCAGGAAAATGTGTCGGAATCCACATTTAAACACATGTAAACCTCCCAGTAAAATGTGTCTAAATCCACAGTTAAACCCATTTAACCCCCCAGGAAAAGGTGCCTAAACCCACATTTAAACCCATTTAACCCCCCCATGAAAATGTGCCTAATTCCACATTTTAACCCATTTAACCCCCCAGGAAAATGTGCCTAAATCCACATTTAAATACATCTAGCCCCCACCAGAAAATGTGTCTAAATCCACATTTAACCCCCACCAGGAAAAAGTGTCTGAATCCACATTTAAACCCATTTAACCCCCCCAGGAAAATGTGTCTAAATCCACATTTAAACCCATTTAACCCTTCAGGAAAAGGGGCCTAAACCCACATTTAAACTCATTTAACCCCCCCAGGAAAATGTGCCTAAATCCACATTTAAACCCATTTAACCCTTCAGGAAAAGGTGCCTAAATCCACATTTAAACCCCTTTAACCCCCCAGGGGTGGCACGGGGGGTCCCTTACCTCTCAGCCCGTTTGTCACCCTGAATTCCCCGGCGGGCACCTGCAGGCGGCTGCTCTCGGCTTCCAGCAGCGTCCTGGGGGAGAGCAGAGGGGCTGGGGGTGCTGCAGGGGGCTCCCTGGGCACCCCGGCGTGGGTAAACTGAGGCACGGCTGCCTGTGCTGCTATGGACACAGGGCGGGTAAATTGAGGCACGGTTGGTTCTGCTGGACACAGGGTGGGGAAACTGAGGCACGGCTGGTTCTGCTGCTATGGGCGCTTGTGGCATCAGGGCAGGTAAACTGAGGCACGGGAGCTTGTGCTGCTCTTGACACAGGGCGGGTAAACTGAGGCACGGGTGCTTGAGGTGCTCTGGACACAGTGTCAGGGTGGGGAAACTGAGGCACGGCTGGTTCTGCTGCTACGGACACAGGGGGCATCAGGGTGGGTAAACTGAGGCACAGCTGGATGTGTTTCTATGGACACAGGGTGGGTAAACTGAGGCACGGCTGCTTTCCTGCTCTGGGCACAGAGGGCATCAGGGTGGGTAAACTGAGGCACGGCTAAATGTGCTGCTCTGGACACAGGGTGTGAGGGTAGGTAAACTGAGGCACAGGTGCTTGTGGCATCAGGGCAGGTAAACTGAGGCACGAGTGCTTGCGCTGCTCTGGATATAGGGTGGGTAAACTGAGGCACGGCCAGTTCCGCTGCTATGACCCAGGTTATCAGGACAGGTAAACTGAGGCACGGCTGCATGTGCTGCTCTGGACACAGGGCAGGTAAACTGAGGCACGGCTGGTTCTGCTGGACACAGGGTGGGGAAACTGAGGCACGGCTGGTTCTGCTGCTCTGGACAGTGTCAGGGCAGGTAAACTGAGGCACCACTGCTTCTGGACTGCTCTGGACACAGAGTGTGAGTGTGGGTAAACTGAGGCACGGCTGGATGCGCTGCTCTGAACACAGGGCAGGTAAACTGAGGCACGGCTGGATGTGCTGCTCTGACCCAGGTTATCAGGGCAGGTAAACTGAGGCACGGCCGGTTCCGCTGCTCTGACCCAGGTTATCAGGGCAGGTAAACTGAGGCACGGCCGGTTCCGCTGCTCTGACCCAGGTTATCAGGGCAGGTAAACTGAGGCACGGCCGGTTCCGCTGCTCTGACCCAGGTTATCAGGGCAGGTAAACTGAGGCACGGCCGGTTCCGCCGCCCTGGCACGGCTCGCTGCGGACCCCGAAGGAGCCCCCCTGGCTGCCGTGCCCCCTCCCCTCCCCCCGTGGCCCGGATTAGTGTCCCCGCACGGCGACATCACGCTCGGCCGCGCAGGGCCAGCCCCATTCTCATGCTAATCGTGCCCACGGCCCCTTTGTGCGGGGCCATCTGGAAGGAAGGAAGCGCCGCTCGGGGGGCACGGGGCTGTCCCTGCGGCGCCACCTGTGCCCACCTGGGGCTCACCTGTAGGTCGCCACTTCCAGGCTCAGGGACATCTTGAGGTGCATCAGCTGCTGCCTGTCCTCCAGCACCCGCGCGATCTGCACCCGCAGGCTCTGCTGCTCCTGCTCCAGGGCCTCCATGGCCAGCTGTGGCACCACAGGGGGGGTCAGGGGGCGGCCGGGGTCACCCCCAACCCTGCCCGAGTCCCCCCGGTCCCTGCGGGGTTCGGGATCCCCGCAGGATGCTCAGGGATGGGACCAGAGCTCAATTTAGCACCTAGGGGCTGAGGATGGGGCAGGATGAGCAGGGGATGGGAAGAGAGAGGAAAGGCCGGGCTGATTGGGAAAGAAACAACTTCATGGGCAGCTGTGGGCACCACAGTGGGGGTCAGGGTCACCCCCAGCCCTGCCCGTCCCCCTGTCCCCTGTGGGATTCGGGATCCCCGCAGGATGCTCAGGGATGAGCCTGGAGTTCATTTTAGCACCGGGGGCTGCGGATGGGGGAGAAAAGGGAGGGAAGGCCGGGCTGATTGGGAAAGAAACAACTCCATGGCTCTGCTGCTCCTGCTCCAGGGCCTCCATGGCCAGCTGTGGGCACCACAGGGGGGGTCAGGGTCACCCCCAGCCCTGCCCGACCCCCCCCCCCCGATCCGCTCATTCCTGCAGGATGCTCAGGGACGAGCCTGGAGTTCATTTTAGCACCGGGGGCTGAGGATGGGGGAGAAATGGGAGGAAAGGCTGGGCTGATTCATGGCCAGGTGGAAAAGAAACAACTCCATGGGCAGCTGCGGGCACCACAGGGGGGTTAGGGGGGTCACGGTCACCCCCAGCCCTGCCCGAGCCCCAGAGATCTGGGCAGGGCTCAGTGGCTCGGCTCAGCCCCGTAGGATTCTCAGGGATGAGCCTGGAGCTCATTTTAGCCCCAGGGGCTGACGATGGGGCAGGATGAGCAGGGGATGGGAAGAGGGAGGAAAGGCCGGGCTGATTCACAGCGAGGGAAAGAAACAACTCCATGGGCATGGTCACCCCCAGCCCTGCCCGAACCCCGCGGATCTGGGCCGGGCAGGGGGCTCAGCTCATCCCCGCAGGATGCTCAGGGACGAGCCCGGAATTCATTTTAGCCCCGGGGGCTGAGAAATGGGTGAAGTGAGCAGGGCTGAAAAGGGACGGGAAGAGGGAGGAAAGGCCGGGCTGATTCACAGCCAGCGTGGGAAAGAAATAACTTTCATTAGAGCAGCGGAGGCGGCGGCATCCTCTGCCCCGGGACACCCAGGGCTGCTCTCAGCAGCTGGAACAAAGGGAGACCCTTCCCCGGGCGGTGCTGACGCCGCTCCCCGGTATTTCCAGCCCGCTCCGCCTCCTCCTCCCTGCGCCGAATCGCTTTTGCAGCTGTCGGGTCGCAGCTGCAGCGAACTCGGTGGGAGTTTTTGGGAGTTTGTCCTTCCCGCACACCGGGGGCTGCGGCTGCCCCGGGATCCGCACCCCGAAACCGGGCAGGGGGCTGGGGGAGCCCCCGGTGACTGCTGCTGCTGCTCCGCTGCAGTTTGGTGACCCCGGGTCTCTGTTTCCCCAGGGACAGAGATGTCCCCAAGCCTCTTTGCTCTTCCTCCTGCCCTCCCCAGCTTCCTCTGAGCTCACCCAGGGCTGCCTTCCTCCCTTCCCTGGGGTTTGCTCGCTCTGTTTGCCTCCCCCCCATCCATCTCTCGCGTCTCTTTGCTCAGAGTCGTGCCCTGTGTGCCCACCCTGCACCCCCAGCCCCTCTGCTGTCCCCTTCCCCGGGGATTTTTCACTCGCCTGGAACTTTTCCGCCTCCCCGCGCTGCTCCTGCCACTGCCGGGCCAGGCTCTCCTCCAGCATCTCCTTGCGAGCTTTGAGCCCCGCCAGGTCCTTCTCCAGGTGCTGCAGCTGCAGCTGGCTCTGCTGGTTGTCCTCCACCGCCTTCCACAGGTTCTCCTTGGCCTGGCAAAGGGAACCTTCCAGCTGAGCCACCTCTGCCTTGTAGGTCTCCACCGCCCCTTTCCAGATCTCCGAGAGCCTCTTGGAGTAATCCTCCACCTCCACGGGCTGCAGAGCCACGGGGGCGCAGCGGAAACTCTCCAGGCTGTGCGAGAAAGCGGCGATCTCCTGGTCCAGCCCCGCTTTCTCCTCCTCGTGCACCTCCAGCAGGGCTTCCACCTCCTTCTCCAGCTGCGCGGCTCTCTCCTTGAGCCAGATCTGCGCTCTCCTCTCCTCCTCCAGCTCCTTCCTGCTCAAGGACAGCTCCTTCTTGGCTGCTTCTCGGGCTGCCTGCTCCTTCTGGCACCTGCTTCTCACCTGCTGCACCTCCTCGTAGAGGTTGTCCCTGGCCAGCTCGGCCGTGCATTTGTCCCTGAAGGCGACATCCAGCGCATCCCGCAGCGCTCGCAGCTCCTCCTCGTACTTGGCCCTCCGCGATTCCCCCGCCCGGCCGCTCTTGCTGCTCTGGATTTCAGCTCGCAGCACCTCGTTCTCCTCCTCCAGGAACTTCACGCGGGCCAGGTAGGCCTCCAGGCGCTTGTTGAGGTCCCACATCTGCAGCGATTCCTCTCCCAGGGCTCTGGGCCCCGCCAAACTCTCCGTGCTCAGCATGGCCATCATGGGAGGATGAGGAGGGGAGAAGAAGGCGGGGAGGGAAGCAGAGAGTGCCGGCGAGCAGAGGGGAGCGCAGCTATTCATACCCTGCCTGCCGAGTGGGAGGCCCCCGAGACCCGGACGAGCAGCCGCATTTAACCCTTGCACAGCCGAGCCCACGTGGGCTCCACGCTGAGCTCGGGTTTCCCGGCTATGAGGAAGAGCGTGGTGCCGCTTCCCACTTCCAAGCCCTCAATCAGGAGGGTGATTTGAGGGCTTGGATCCTGTCCCTAAAGCCCGAGGGCCGTGCCAGGGAGCTGGAGGGCTGCCCTGGGGCTCGGCGAGGAGTTTGGGAGGTGTCCAAGGGCGCTTGGCAGATGCCCAGCCCGGCTGCAGCATCCCTCGGTGGTGGCTTATGTTGCGGAAGATGGAACAGGAAAGCCTTACAAATATGATTGTCTGGCAGAAAAAAAAAAAAGATTTTGAGAATATAGAAACCATAAGTGAGATTGGAATGAAAGCAAGCTTTGAGATCCTTTAATTACTGAACACCTGGAAAGCAATGGTGTGGCTGAATTGAAGGTGATCCCCTTTTGATGGAACAACACCCTCTGCTTGCAGACAGGCCCAAGGGTCAGAGCAGACCCTACAGCTTGGCAGAAGGGGCCCAAAGAGGAGTTTTTAGGCTTTAAAACTACTCCAAAGAGGATTTTTTGGGGTTTCCACAGAGCAGTTTTTAGGCTTAGCAGAAGAGGTCCAAAGAGGAGTTTATAGGGTTTTAAATGCAACACAGCATGGTAATGTAATGATTCTTATAGGCTGTATGGAAATACTATAGGATTTGTATCTTGTACTAGATTGATTAGTGAGAATTAGAATATTCAACACAGAAGAAGATTTATTGTATTGTAACGGGAACTTCGCCCTCTTACCCCTTTAACTCTCTTACCCCTTTTACTCCCATGTGCTTTTATTCTCTCACCCTCTCACCCTCTCTCCCCCTCTCTTCTCTCAGGCCTGCTCTGAGCTGTGGCTGCAGCTCCCAGCAGGGCCCTGCACCCAGGCCCTTTGCAATAAACCCCAAATCCCAGCAGGGCCCTGCACCCAGGCCCTTTGCAATAAACCCCAAATTCCACGCCCTGGCTTCAGAGATCTCTCGTCTTTGTCCATCCTACAGGCTTGTGAGCCCCGTGCTCCCCCAAAACTCGGGGGCTCAGAGCCCCAGAGGAGCCCCCCGAGGGTCTCACAGGCCTTTAATATAGATATATATCAAAGTTCATGTTGAGTCTGATAAATCTTTGCCCAAGAAATGTTCCATTGGAACTTTGTCTTTCAATAAATAAACTACATTTTTTTTTTGTGGAAAATGAGAGAAAAAAAATGAAGAAAGGATAAAGTTGAGTTCTAACTCCAAACATCAGTATTAATTCAGACGCTTTGGATTTACAGATAAATCAGGTGGTTCCACCATCATCTTCAAGTAAGAAATAAAATAAAGAAAGAGACAATAACAATATAAATAATGTAAAAAGAAATCATTAAAAACCACCCCTTTTGAGTTCGTGTTCAAATCAATAATCAAAAATTTTGGTTCCCTGTCCTAACTTCAGAGAACCTGGTAATATTTGTTAGGATTTGCAGTTTTGATTCTATGACAAGTTAAAAGACCAGATTTCTTAAAAATCTCTGAAGCTTCATGAAACACAGAGAACATTTATTTCTTTGATCCGTTAGCACCTTCCTCTCACAGCCCTGGCAAGGTGATGGCTGCACCGAGCACATCTCTGGGCAGGTCCCTGCATCCATCCTATGGAAATCCCTCTGCAGAGCATCCAGCTGTGCCCAGTGTGTCCAGCTGTGATCTTCCCTCTCTCCAGATGTGCGGGAGCCCAACGGGAGCAGCTCCTCTGAAATTTGATTTCCGTCAGAGCTTCCACTGACGGGCTCCAGCACTCCTGGTTAGATATTTTTAATATTTATATTTTTTTTTGTTTTTCTCTCTTTATTCACCCCAGATGACTTCTCTGGGGGAAGGGCAGCGCGCTGGCGAGGGGCGGAGATTCACAATTTTAAACTCGGGAGGATTCTGCGAACAAAAGGAGCAGGAATATGAGGAAAACATCGCTGGGGGAGAGACTTGCCAGCGTTTTCTCCCGGTGATTTTTCCCCATGGGAGGGTCCTCAGCAAGGCAAGGAGGACAGGAATGTCTCTTCCCTAGAGGGACAGGCTTCTGGAAAAACAAGCAACAAGACAAGCAACAGTCCCCTCTGCTGGCAAAGCATCTCCAGCATCATCCAGGGGCTGCTGGGGACAGGAGAGCAGCAGCAGCAGCCCCAGCAGGGTCATGGTTGTCCCCTGGGAGGGTCGGGGTTGTCCCTGGTGCCTGGAGCGGGGATGGAAAGGGGATGAGCCGACTCGGGGGTCCCCAAGGGCATCATCATCATCTTTCCGGCTCATCTCCGGCCAGACATCCTGTCTGGCTCCTCGGCCCGGCTCTGGTTTGCCTCTCACAGCCAAGATTGGAACGCTGTTAAGGAGCCCAGGGAGGGCTGAGGTTGGAGAATCGATCCGGGGTCTCGCTGAGGTGATGCCGCGTGTTTTTCGCAGATGTCTTTTATGGAAAATCCTTTCTTCGGGATTTTTCCTCCTGAGAAGCTGAGAGGCCTCAGGAACAAAATGTAAGCAATGGTTATCTGCTGCTGTGGAATGCAACAGGTGCATCTGGGATTGGTCTCATGGGGTTGTTTCTAATTAATGGCCAATTACAGTCAGCTGGCTCGGACAGAGAGCCCGAGACACAAACCTTTGTTATTCATTCTTTCTTTTTCTATTCTTAGCCAGCCTTCTGATGAAATCCTTTCTTCTATTCTTTTATTATAGTTTTAATATAATATATATAATAAATTTATAAATCAAGCTTTCTGAAACATGGAGTCAGATCCTCATCTCTTCCCCAATCTGAAAACCCCAGTGAACACGGTCACATGTGTTTTTATCTTCCTCCTCCTCATTTCCATAGCACATCTGCTGCAGGGCTGCCCTTCCTCACTGCCTGCCTGCTCCCACTTTCCTCCTCTTCCCACCTGGGATGTCCAGGAGCCCCCAAAACTGCTGCAAAAAGACCCCCAGTGCTTATGGCTGGGAAGGAGTGAGAAATTCCTTCCTCCCTGGTCCTGTCCCCCTCTTCCTCCTCCTCCTGTCTTTTGGGGTGCCTGGCCCCTCTGTCTGAGCCAGCAGCAGGGCTCAGCAGGATGGCCCAAATCCTGCAGCCCAAGGAGGGCTCAGGATACCCCAGGATGGGGATTTTGGTGTCCCTGGGGGATGTCTGAGCTCAGGATGCCCCAGGATATGGAAGTCCATGTCCCTGGGGGATGTTTGAGTTCAGGATGCCCCAGGGTGCAGATGTTGGTGCCCCTGAGGATGTTTGAGCTCAGGATGCCTCAGTATGGAGTTTTTTGTGTCACTGGGGGATGTCTGAGCTCAGGAGGCCCCAGGATGGGGATTTTGGTGTCACTGAGGGGTGTTTGAGCTCAGGATGCCCCAGGATGGGGGTGACTGGATCCCTGGGGGATATCTGAGCTCAGGATACCCCAGGATGGAGATGTTGGTGCCCTTGGGGGATATTTGAGTTCAGGATACCCCAGGATGGAGATGTTGGTGTTACTGGGGGATGTTTGAGCTCAGGATGCTCCAGGATGGGGATGTTGGTGTCACTGAGGGATTCTGGGGATCAGGATGCCCCAGGAGGGGGATTTTGTTGTCCCTGGGGGATGTTTGAGCTCAGGATGCCCCTGGATGGGGATTTTGGTGTCACTGGGAGATGTTTGAGCTCAGGATGCCCCAGGATGGGGATGTCTGGGTCCCTGGGGGATGCTGAGGATTAGGATGCCCCAGGATAGGGATGCCCCTGTCACTGGGGGATGTTTGAGCTCAGGATGCCACAGCATGGGGATGTTGGTGTCCCTGGGGGATGCTGGGGATCAGGATGCCCCAGGATGGGTTTTTTTGGGTTACTGGAGGATGTTCGAGCTCAGCATGCCCCAGGGTGAGGATTTTGGTGTCCTTGGGGGATGTCTGAATTCAGGGTGCCCCAGGATGGGGATGTTTGTGTCCCTGGGGGGATGTTTGAATTCAGGATACCCCAGGGTGGGGATTTTGGTGTTACTGGGGGATGTTTGAGCTCAGGATGCCCCAAGATGAGGATGTTGGTGTCCCTGGGGAATGGGATGTCTGTTCCCCTGAGAGATTTTTGGGGGCAGAACCCCCTGGGAACAGGATGTTGGTCCCTGTGGGGTGCTCAGGTGGCCGTTCAGCAGTGGCACAGCTTTATAGGAATGTGCTCTTTGTTGATGGAGTGACAAAACTAACTTTTGTTCCTTTTTGTTCCTTGTTTTCATTCCTTTTGTTCCTTTAAAAAGGAAAGAAGCCCAGAAGTTTCTCTTTTTGATTAGGTGAAAAAGGCATCTCATAGGACTTGGAGGATTTCACTTCAAACTTCAGGATAGCTAATTGGACAGGAGGTAAAAAGTTTTGTTTGGGCAATTTATTAGAAAAAGAAGAGAACAAAGAAACTAATTGCTTTTGTGAGGTGTTTTACTAGGGGCAGGAGGGCTTCTTGTACTTGGATTGGTTTTCTCTGTAAAGAGTTTGTTTATTTTGCCTTTTATTAAAACCTTTTTGTTTCCAACACTGCCACTGAAGCCATTTTGCTGATTTGATGCCTCCTAAGGTAGCTGAGCTATCTTGGGTGTGAAATAGAACTCCAAGAGCTCATGAGACCTGGCTGGAGGAGAATCCTGGTGCTGGGGGTGGCAGTCTGAGGGTGCCCTGCAGCCCCAGGGTGGGAGCTGGCACGTGCCTGGCACGGGGCGCATGGCACAGGGTGCATGGCACGGGCTGGGACGTGACTCTGAGCAGGGCTGGAGGAGCAGGGGGAGGAGGAGGAAGCACAGCTGGGCACTGAGGTCCTTCCAGCCTGAACACAGCTGGGGCTGAGGGGGGCTGGGGGTCCCTGGGGGGGTCCCCCATGCCTTTCCATGCCCTGGCTGATGGAGAGGGCTGAGCCAGAGCATCTCCTGAGCTGCAGGAATGGATGGGGATCCTCTGGGGGGTCTAACAGGGCTGTGCCCTGCTCCTGTCTGCTCCTCTCCCTTCTCTCCTGCCCCTTCCAGCAGCTGGGTGTCCTGTGGGGGTCCCCTGTGCCTTTCCATGCCCTGGCTGCTGGGATTTGGCTGCTTTGCTGGGGAGGGCTGAGCCAGAGCATATCCAGAGCTGCAGGAATGGATGGGAATCCTCTGGGGGGGGTCTAACAGGGGCTGTGCCCTGCTCCTGCCCGCTCCTCTCCTGTAAGAGCCAAAATGAGAGATGCAGGACTCCAGGCAGCTCTCCAAAATGCAGTTTGTTGCATTCAAGGTGTTACAGCAGTCCAGGGTCGTGGGTGACAGAGCCTGTGCCTACAGTTGTCAGCTCCACAACACCTGTGTCCCTCACTGGGGCTCTTACTGATGGTGCCCCACGTTGGGCACCACTGTTTGAGCCAAAATGAGAGATGTGGGACTCCAGGGGCTCTTCAAAATGCAGTTTATTGTATCCAAGGTGTTACAGCAGTCCAGGGTCGTGGGTGACAGAGCTGTGCCTACAGGTGTCAGCTCCAGAAGGCCCGTGTCCCTCATTCAGGCTCTTACTGATGGTGCCCCACATTGGGCGCCACTGTAAGAGCTGTAATGCAGCTCTCCAAAATGCAGTTTGTTGCATTCAAGGTGTTACAGCAGTCCAGGGTCATGGGTGACAGAGCTGTGCCTATAATTGTCAGCTCCAGAAGACCCGTGTCCCTCATTCAGGCACTTACTGATGGTGCCCCACGTTGGGCACCTCCTGGGCTGGGACTGGGGAGTTCTGCCCCACAAAGTGCAGTTCTGTGGGTGGTGCCCATTGGGGCAGGATGGCACCCCATGGGCTGGGACTGGAGAGCCCTGTGCCACAGCCCTGTGCCACACAGTTCTATGGGTGGTGCCCATCTGGAGCGGGATGGCACCTCATGGGCTGGGATTGGGGAGATGGAGCTGGGGCAGCCCTGGGGGTTCAGCCCTGAATTTCCCAGTGCCTGTCCTGGCACGGCTGTGGGCACCGTGTGTGAGCGTGAGAGTGAGAGTGAGTGTCCAGCCCTGTGGTGTGAGAGTGAGTGAGTGAGTGAGTGAGTGCGTCCAGCACTGTGAGTGTGTGAGTGTCCAAGCAGTGCAGTGTGAGAGTGAGTGTGAGTGTGATTGTCCAGCCCTGTGAGTGTCCAACCCCATGGTGTGAGTGTGAATGCCCACCCCCCGTGCTGTGAGTGTGAGTGTGTCAATGTCCAGACCCATGCTGCGAGTGTGAGTGTGTGAGTGAGTGTCCAGCCCCATGCTGCGAGTGTGAGTGTATGTGTGCGAGTGTGTGAGTGTGAGTGTCCAGCCCCATGCTGTGAGTGTGAGTGTCCAGCCCTGTGCTGTGTGTGTGAATGTGAGTGTGAGTTCTCAGCCCCGTGCTGTGAGTGTGAGTGTGTCAATGTCTAGCCCCATGCTGAGTGTGAGTGTGAGTGCCTAGCCCCATGCTGTGAGTGTGAGTGTCAATGTCCAGTCCCATGCTGTGTGAGTATGATTCCCAGCCCTGTGCTGTGTGAGTGTGATTCCCACCCTGTGCTGAGTGTGAGTGTGTGTGTGAGTGTGAGTGTGAATGATTCCCATCTCCGTGCTGTCAGTGTGAGTGTGTGAGTGAGTGTGAGTGTGTGAGTGTGATTCCCATCCCATGCTGTGAGTGTGAGTGTGATTCCCATCTCTGTGCTATGAGTGTGAGTGTGACTGTGAGTGTGAGTGTGATTCCCACCCCATGCTGTGAGTGTGAGTGTGAGTGTAAGTGTGATTCCCATCCCTGTGCTGAGTGTGAGTGTGAGTGTGTGTGTGTGATTCCCATCCCCGTGCTATCAGTGTGAGGGTGAGTGTGAGTGTGATTTCCATCCCGTGCTGTGAGTGCGAGTGTGTGTGATTTCCATCCCCGTGCTGTCAGTGTGAGTGTGAGTGTGATTCCCATCCCGTGCTGTGAGTGTGAGTGTGTGTCAGTGTGAGTGATTCCCATCCCCGTGCTGTCAGTGTGTGAGTGTGATTCCCATCTCTGTGCTGTCAGTGTGTGTGTGACTGTAATGTGAGTGTGAGTGCGATTCCCATCCCGCGCTGTGAGTGTGAGTGTGAGCGTGAGTGGGATTCCCACCCTGCACTGTGAGTGTGAGTGTGAGTGTGTGAGTGTGAGTGCAATTCCCATCCCATGCTGTGAGTGTGAGTGCGCGAGTGTAAGTGTGAGTGCAATTCCCACACCGTGCTGTGAGTGTGAGTGTGTGAGTGTAAGTATGAGTGCAATTCCCACCCCGCGCTGTGAGTGTGAGTGTGAGTGCAATTCCCACCCCGTGCTGTGAGTGTGAGTGTGTGAGTGTGAGTGTGAGTGTGAGTGTGAGTGCAATTCCCATCCCACGCTGTGAGTGTGTGTGAGTGTGAGTGTGAGTGTGAGTGTGAGTGTGAGTGTGTGAGTGTGAGTGTGAGTGCAATTCCCATCCCGCGCTGTGTCCCATCACCCCCCTGGCCATTCCCCTCCCCGGAGCTGCAGCGCTGCCGGTGCCGCCTCTGCCGCCCGCAATTATTTCCCAGGGTGCCAAATGATTAATTCAGCTCAGGAACGGAGCTGAGGCTTTCTGCAAACTCACCCGAGCAATTCCCTGGCAGCTCCGCGCCGCCCCCCCGGCCGGGGAATGCTCCGTGCCAGGCAAACTTTCGGCGAGATCAGCTTTAAAAAACCCTCGGTGCCAGCTGGGTGCTGCCCCTTTGCCAACGGGGTGTGCCAGCTGCCCACCAGACCCCACCGGTGCCCAGGTCCCCAGAATTCCCGCAGGATTGAGGACTTGAGGCATTGCAGCCTAAAGATGCATCAATGATCCTGGCCCTGCCGCAGATGCAGGTAAACTGAGGCACTGTGAGTGCTGTGCTGTGCCAGCTCGGCTCTGGCTGCTCCCACAACCAAAGGGGTTTGTGGATGTCCCTTAGAGGGGTTTGTGATGTCCCTTAGAGGAGTTTGTGATGTCCCTTAGAGGGGTTTGTGGGGGCTGGCAAAGCCCCCCAGACTCCTCCACCCACAGCAAAAGGGTTTTTTTACATGACAAAGCCTCTGCTGGCTACCGGGACCCCCGCCCGCCGCCCCCTCCCCATCCAGCCGAAGCTGCCAAATCCCAGGAATCGCCACCCCAAGGGCATTCCCGAGCCACGGAGGGGTCTGGGGGGGCGACACCCCCATTCTCTGCTCCCCAATTCTGCTGCATCGGGTTAACACCGGGCTGAGCATCCTCTTCATCCTCCTCATCCTCCTCATCCTCCTCATCCTCCTCATTCTCCTCTCGTGCGGGCTTTGCCAGCCGCCAGGAGGGAGGGACGGGGAGGGACGAGCAGCCTGCCAACACGGTAGTATCTTTTTTTTTTTTTTTCCTTCTTCTCCTTCTTAATTAGGGGAAGGAATAAATATAAAAGGAGGAGGGAAAGGGGAAGGGAAAAAAAGCAAAAAAAAAAAAAAAAGCGGAGTGGAGGACACGGACACACACACACACACACAGAGAAGGCTCTTTTCTCGGTGCCTGCACTTATGCCTGGTGCAGCTCCGTGCCAGCCCTGCTGCCGAACTGCCCGCGCTGCCCCGGAGGAGCCGCAGCTCAGCCGCACGCCGGGCCCCGGGGCCGGGGCTGCGGCCCCGCACCGAGCCAGGTGAGCTGGGGGTACCGGGAACCCCGGGGGTGCGGCCCCGCACCGAGCCAGGTGAACTGGGGGGATACCGGGGGTACCCCGGGATCTGCGGTGCCCCCGGGATTGGTGCCCACAGGATCTGCGGTGCCCCGGGATCTGCTGTGCCCCCGGGATTGGTGCCCCGGGATCTGCGGTGCCCCGGGATCTGCGGTGCCCCCGGGATCTGCGGTGCCCCCGGGATTTGTGCCCCGGGATTGGTGCCCACAGGATCTGCGATGCCCCGGGATTGCTGTCCCGGGATCTGCGGTGCCCTCGGGATTGGTGCCCCCGGGATTGGTGCCCACAGGATCTGCGGTGCCCCAGGAGCTGCGGTGCCCCCGGGATCTGCGCTTTCCATCCCGGTCTCGCCTTTCATTCAGCTCCGCACAGAAAGCGAAACGAGAGCCGGGCTGGCTCAGTTCGGAGGTTTCCCCGGGGTTTTTCCCCTCGCACCGTCCTGCCCTGCAGCGGGGAGGGCTCGGGTGGCTTTGTCCTTGTCCCCGAGGTTTCTGGAGGGGGCGGCTCGGAGCGGGCACAGCGGGGGCTGGGGGGGCTCTGCCAAGTTGGGAGGAGAAAGGAGTTTGGTGCTGCCCGGCTGCTGCAGCCTGGAGCCAGCCTGGAACCCAGCTTAGAGCCCAGCCTGGAACCCAGCTTAGAGCCCAGCCTGGAGCCCAGAGCCCAGCCTAGAGCCAGCCCATAGCCCAGTCCAGCAGCAGGGCTCAGAGGTGTTGGGCACAAAAAAGCATTTTCCACGTTGTTTCCTCAGGAACCCCGTTTTGGGAGAGGGGTCAGGGGTCCAGGATGGGGTTGGTGTGTTCTGCAGAGTCCCTGCTCCTTGTCCCAAGGAGGCTGCAGCAGTGCAAAGGGAAACTGAGGCACGGAGCCGGGCAGGGATCAGGCTCCCCCAGCTCCTTCCCGTTTGTGTCGCTGGGCTGAGCTCGGGGCAGAGCTGCCCGGTCTGGGGGAGCTGGGGCCGAGCCCAAGGTTTGGGGTTTTGGGATTTTGGGACTTTGGGATTTTTGGATTTTGAGATGGTTCTCCCCGTCCTCCCCCAGCTCTCTCTGCTGGGAGGCAGGAGGGGGCAAGAGGTGAAATATTTCAGGATTTTCACGGCTTTTTCCAACCTATCCGCCCCGCTGTGAACCCCAGACCCGCCGGGGGTGTCCCGGGGAAGGGGAATTTTCCCGCAGCCCTTTTCCCCTCCCGCAGGCGGAACATTTCATCCCCAGGGTGAAGGGGCTGCCCTTGAGCATCCCTGCCAGGGACCTCTGCCCCTGTCACTTCCCACCCCAGAACCTGTTGCTCTTCCTCCTGGCTGCACTTGGGGTGGGAGAATCCCCCCTGTGCCCATCCCGGAGCGTTTTGCACGGCAGGGAGAGGCCGAGCAGGATATTTTAGAGCTGTTTTCCAGGGAACGGTTTAAACTGGGAGCTGGGGTGAGGCTGTGCTGGGAGGGGGGACATGCGAGTTTGGGAGGTGCTGAAATCAGGGACCCGCACACTACTGCCCCTCCCCGTGCCTCAGTTTCCCCAGCAGATCCCCGGGAAGGCGGGGGTGGGTGTGCAAACCACACACGTGTGCGTGTGACACACTTAGCCAGGGCTACACGTGCCGGGGTGTCCCTGGCGGCTCCTGCGGGCTCTGCTCGCCCCCCGCCCCTCTGAACCTCCCCCGGGACCCTCCCCGCGCTCTCCCCTGCACAAGGAGCCCCTTTCTTCGGGGGGCTCGGGCTCCTGGCAGCTGCAGGGACCCCCCTCCTCCCCACCTCCTTCCGGCCTTTCAGCTCTGCCAGCTCCGCTGCCAGGAGCCCTCCGGGCCCTCCCGGGGTTGGCACCGCCTGGCACGGCCCCGCTCCCCCCGGGGACCCCTCCGGGGGTGGGCACGGATCCTGGGGGTTTGGGGCAGGGGTGGGCACGGATCCTGGGGGTCTGCAGCTCCGGGGGGACGGACACGGAGCGGATAGGAGAGAACCGCGGCCGGGACAGCGGGTCCGTGTGCGTGCCCGTGCGGCACCGGCGTGTCCGGAGCCCTTTGCCGGTGGGGACGGGGCTGGAGCGGGGCCAGGCTGTGCCGGAGGCTGCTGACTCATTCTGCAGCTGAGCATCCCTGGAAAAGCACCGCTCTGCTCCCTCCTCCTCCTCCTCCTGCTCCGGATCGCTGCGGGCTGGCAGGGCACCTTGGGAGCGGCGTGAGCAGCATCACGTGGAGGGACAGGAGAAAACTCCTCCGGAGATGAAAAGGGACAGGAGAAAAACCCCTCCGGAGATGAAAAGGGACATCCACAAATCCCTCTAAAGGACATCACAAATCCCTCTAAGGGACATCCACAAACCCCCCTCCGAAGATAAAAGGGGACATCCACAAACCCCTTTAAGGGACATCCACAAACTCCTTTCTGGAGATGAAAAGGGACATCCACAAACTCTTCTAAGGGACATCCACAAACCCCCCTCCAGAGATAAAAAGGGACATCCACAAACCCCTTTAAGGGACATCACAAACCCTCTAAGGGACATCCACAACCCCCTTTAAGGGACATCACAAACCCCACTAAGGGACATCACAAACCCCTCTCAGGGACATCCACAGGCACAGCTCCAGTGCTGAGCCCTGGCCCAGGTGCTGCAGGTGCCACATTCAAGGAGCCAGCTCTGAAAGCAGGGCCGAGCTCAGGGGAGAAAGGAGGAGCAGCGCTGTCCCAAAATAGATCCCAGCTCCATTTTCCACCTGGTTTCCCACAGAAATGGAGGTTAGCTGGCCCCGCCACGTGCCTGCCTGTGTGTCTGTCTGATCCCGGCAGCTCCTGAGCTCTGAGGTCTCTGGGACAACTCTGAGCCTCACGAGTTGCTGACATTATAATTATTCAACATTTTTTGGCTGCTCTTCCCTATCCTGCTCTCAGCTTTTCCCTCAGAATTTGTGGGTTGAAGGATTTTCCATTTGTGGCAAACAGGAAAGATACCCAACGTAAAAATCCAACTCCAAACCCCAAACCCTGAGAGTCTCTGCTCATGGGGCAGGGTGAAATTTGCTTTAACCCTTCCCACACCCCATTCCCAGTGCCAGCACACACTCAGGGATGGGCACAGGAGGAGGGCAGCCACTCCAGCCTGCCCAATTCCTGTGGAATTTTATCTCTTGGATTTCCTCCCCGGGATTTCAGGGTTGCTGTCCGCGCCACCCCGGCGCCTTGGGGACGGGAAGAAAAGGTGCCAGTGACAAAAGCCTGCCTTGCCCGGCTGCCCAGGGGGTGGCACCAGCCCCCGGGCTGGAGCCTGGCCACGGCTGCCACGCAGGAGGGTTTTGTCCCTCACACAGAGCCATGGGGCTGCATTCAAAATATCCGTCTGGAGCACAGACAGCTCCTGCCTTGGCCCTGGCACCACTGGGCAGCCCAGCTTTGGCTGCTCCTGCTGGGAAGGGGACGTCTGTGGTCTGCACTGGATGGTTGATGCCCATGGGGTGTGGTGCCAGGGGATTTGTATTGGTGTTGGGAGCTGTGCATGCACAGTGCCTGGTGCTGTGGGCTGTGCACCCCTGGGGCGTGGTGCCAGGGGTTGTGTACCCACGGTGTGTGGTGCCAAGGCTGTACATCCATGGTGTGTGGTGCCAGGGGCTGTGAACCCATGGTGTGTGGTGCCAGGGTTGTACATCCATGGTGTGTGATGCCAAGGCTGTATATCCATGGTGTGTGGTGCCAGGGTTGTACATCCATAGTGCCAGGGGCTGTGTACCCATGGTGTGTGGTGCCAGGGCTGTACATCCATGGTGTGTGGTGTCAGGGGCTTTTTGTTGGTGTTGGGAGCTGTGCATGCACAGTGCCTGGTGCTGTGGGCTGTGCACCCCTGGGGTGTGGTGCCAGGGCTGTGCACCCGTGGTATGTGGTGCCAGGGATGTATATCTGTGGTGCCAGGGCTGTACATCCATGGTGTGTGGTGCCAGGGCTGTGTACCCATGGTGTGTGGTGCCAGGGTTGTACATCCATAGTGTCAGGGGCTGTGTACCCATGGTGTGTGGTGCCAGGGGCTGTGTACCCATGGGGCGTGGTGCCAGGGCTGTGTACCCATGGTGTGTGGCCCCAGAGAATGTATATCTGTGGTTCTAGGGGCTGTACATCCATAGTGTGCACTGCCAGGGCTGTGTGACTATGGCTCCAGGGGCTGTACCCATGGTGTGTGGTGCCAGGGTTGTACACCCATGGTGTGTGCTGCCAGGGTTGTACATCCGTGGTGCCAGGGTTGTACACCCATGGTGTGAGTGCCAGGGTTGTACATCCATGGCTCCAGGGGTTGTACATCCATGATGTGTGGTGCCAGGGCTGTATGACCATGGCTCCAGGGACTCTGTACCCATGGTGTGTGATGCCAGGGCTGTATATCCATAGTGTCAGAGGCTGTACATCCATGGTGTTATGCTGCCAGGGTTCTAGGGGATGTGTGTCCATGGTGTGTGGTGCCAGGGCTGTGTACCCACGGTGTGTGGTGCCAGGGTTGTACACCCATAGTGTGTGCTGCCAGGGTTGTACATCCGTGGTGCCAGGGTTGTACACCCATGGTGTGAGTGCCAGGGTTGTACATCCATGGCTCCAGAGGCTGTACATCCATGGTGTGCACTGCCAGGGCTGTGTGACTATGGCTCCAGGGGCTCTGTACCCATGGTGTGTGGTGCCAGGGCTGTACATGGTGCCAGGGATGTACAGCCATGGCTCCAGAGATTGTGTACTCATGGTGTGTCCTGCCAGGGGCTGTGTACCCATGGTTTGTGCTGCCAGGGCTGTACATCCACGGCTCCAGGGGCTGTGTACCCATGGTGTATGGTGTCAGAGAATGTGTATCTGTGGTTCCAGGGGGTGTGCATCCATGGTGTGTGGTGCCAGGCCTGTATATCCATGGCTCCAGGGGTTGCCCATCCACGGTAATTGGTGCTGGGGTGTGTGTGGTGCCCAGGGCTGGATTCACACCCTCCCCCCAGAGCAGTGGTGCCCCGGGCACACTCTGGGAACACAGCTTGAGGAGGGACACAGGTGACAAGGCAGCATCCTGTCAGTCTGTCCCTGCAGCCAGTGACTGGACAGTGAGCTGCTCCTGTGGCTGCTGAAATCAATACAGCGCAAAGAGCTCATAAATTACAAATCTGCTCAGAGCCTCGGGCTGCTCGGTTCCCTGGCAATGGCACGCTGCATCCCTGGCACGGGAGGCTGAGGAGCCCCAAGGAGCCTCTGCAGAGGGGTCAGAGGGTATGGAGAGTGCACCAGGCAGGGACATTTCCCCACATTCCCAGCATCAGCCTCCTCTCTGGATGGCTGCAAGAGCAGCAAGACTGCAAGGACACCCAGAGCCCCCCAAGATGTTCTTATCATGATGTTCATATCACCCCCTGTGCTGCCCACAGGACTCTCACTTCAGAAAGGACACCCAGAGGCCCCCATGATGTTCTTATCACCCCCTGTGCTATTCCCCAGAGAGGGCTGGGTGATGGCAGGACTGACCACGAGGCTCTCTCAGGGCTGGTGCCCACCCCACCGGTGGCAGCCCTTTGTGCCAGGCAGCCTGAGGGAGGCACGGGACATAAAGGCTGCTTTGGGCAGCCTCGCTTTTCCCAGCCCGCGCACGGGGAGCCTCCGGCGTGAGCTGAATGGCAAAGGAGCCGTCCTGCTCCTTCCCTCCCCCCTGCCCTGGGCTCTGTGTGTGCTCTGGGCTGTCCCCCCCTGCTCGCTGAGCTCAGCTCCCTCCTCGAGCCCCCCTGGCAGGGCAGGCGTGCACGAGGGCATGCACACGCGTGTGCGCACCTGCAGTGTGCCCTGCCTGCTCCCTGAGGTCCCTCAGCACCTCCTTCCTCACCAAACCCTCCCCGAGCTTTCTCACGGTGGCACCACGGGCACACGGCCCTGGCGCTGGCATCGCCTCCCTGCCCGCTGCAGCCAGGGCTGGGCTGGCACCATCTGTGCTCTGCAGGCCAGGCTGGACTGTGCTGTCCCCAGGGGAGGTCAGAGGGGCTGGATGGCACCCAGTGGCTCCCAGCCATTGCTCCTGGTTGCTTATGGTGTCTTCTTCCTCTTGTGAGCCAGGGCACCTTCCCTTCCCTTCCCTTCCCTTCCCTTCCCTTCCCTTCCCTTCCCTTCCCTTCCCTTCCCTTCCCTTCCCTTCCCTTCCCTTCCCTTCCCTTCCCAACTTCCCTAAACTTCCCTTCCCTTCCCTAAACTTCCCTTCCCTAAAGTTCCCTAAACTTCCCAAAACTTCCCAAAACTTCCCTTCCCTCTGTGCCCCAATTCCACATCCATCATCCCATTCCCCCCCAGGCTCTGGGGGACCTCCCCAGCCTCTTCCCCTCCTGCAGGGATGGGAGATTTTTGGTGTTTTTATGGATTCTGAGCACATCTGGGTGGTTTTTTCTCCCCCCTTGCAGGGCAGAGCATGGCCCCAGCCCTCCCCCTGCTGCTGCTCTGGCTGTTTGTCCCCACGGCACTCCCGGAGGTGTTTGGCCCTGGAGATGGCACAGGTAACTCAGCACCCCATTGGCGCCCTAGTGGTGATCTCGGGGGGCTCCTCACACTAACCCTGCTCACATCTCCTCTCTTCTCCCACCCAGAGGACCCCAAGGCTCTGCAGGTGTCCATGCCACGGCACCCAGCCCTGGAGGCCGTGCTGGCGGGCGATGTCACCATCCCGTGCCTCATCACCTACCTTGGCCCCCAGCCCACCACCGCCAGCACCGGCGGCCGCCGCGCCGTCCTGGGCACACCCCGGGTGAAGTGGACCTTCATCTCTGAGGGCAGGGAGGTGGAGATCCTGGTAGCTCGTGGGGACAGGGTGAAGGTGAGCGAGGACTATCGGCTGCGCGCCTCCCTGCCCATCTTCCACCAGCGCTACACCAACGCCTCGCTGCTGCTCACCGAGCTGCGCCCCAACGACTCGGGCATCTACCGCTGCGACGTGCAGCACGGCATCGAGGACGGCCACGACATCCTCCACGTCAAAGTCAAAGGTACCTCAGGGTGGGCAGAGGTGGCGTTTGGAACAGCTTGGGGCCCTCTCCTGTCTTGGCAAACGCTGCCCTGGGTAGTGTAGCAGGACGATCTCCAGCAGGGGAATAGCATGCAATGACTAGTGATTTCAGAAGGCTGAACAATTGCTTTATTAAGCAATTGTTTATTAGTTTATTAAACAATTGCTTAATGAGGACGGCCACAACATCCTCCATGTCAAAGTCAAAGGTACCTCAGGGTGGGCAGAGGTGGCATTTGGGGCAGCTTGGGGCTCTCTCCTGGCTCAGCAAACGCTCCCATGGGTGTTGTAGCAGGATGATCTCCAGCAGGGGAATAACGTGCAATGACTCTAGCGATTTCAGAAGGCTGAACAATTGCTTTATTAAGCAATTGTTTATTAGTTTACTAACTAATTGTTTTATTAAGCAATTAGTTAATAAACAATTGTTTAATGAGGACGGCCACGACATCCTCCATGTCAAAGTCAAAGGTACCACAGGGTAGGCAGAGGTGGCACTGGGGGCAGCCAGGGGCCCTCTCCTGGCTCGGCAAATGCTGCCCTGGGTGTTGTAGCAGGATGACCCCCAGCATGGGAATAACATGCAATGACTAGTGATTTCAGAAGGCTGAACAATTGCTTTATTAAGCAATTGTTTATTATTTTATTAAATAATTGCTTTATTATACAATTGTTCATTAAATAATTGCTTTATAAGCAATTAGTTTCTTAGTTGATTAAATAATTGCTTTATTAGGCAATTGTTTATTAACTAATTGCTTTATATTAGTTTATTAACCAATTGCTTTATTAGATATTTTATTATACCATACTCAAACTATACTATACTTTGTTTACTATACTATAAACTTTAAAATAAACTTTATTAGTTTATTAAACAATTGCTTTATTAAGCAACTAGTTTATTAACTAAATGCTTTATATTAGTTTATTAAGCAATTAGTTTATTAAATAATTGCTGTATAAGCTATTATAACTGCATTATACTACACTCAAACTATACTATACTTTGCTATACTATACTATAAGCTGTATAATAAACTTTATTAGTTTATTAAACAATTGCCTTATAAGCAATTATTTTATTGGTTTATTAAGTAATTGCTTTATTAAGCAATTAGTTAATTAACTAAATGCTTTATATTAGTTTATTAACCAGTTGCTTTATAAACTATTATAACTATATTCTGCTACACTCAAACTGTACTATGCTATACTATGCTATAGAAAACTATAAGCTTTATAATAAAATTTATTAGTTTATTAAATAAGTGCTTTATTAAGCAATTGTTTATGAACCAATTGCTTTATAAGCAATTAGTTTATTACTTTATTAAACAATTGCTTTATTAAGCAATTAGTTGGTTAACTAAATGCTTTATATCAGTTTATTAAGCAATTGTTTATTAACTAATTGCTTTATAAGCAATTAGTTTATTAGTTTATAAAACAATTGCTTTAAGCAATTAATTTATTAACTAATTGTTTTATATTAGTTTATTAAGCAATTCATTTATTAACTAATTGCTTTATAAGCTATTATAACTATATTATACTACACTCAAACTATACTGTATTATACTATACTAATACTAAGGAAAAACCTGTGACCCTTTTCTAACAGTCACGACACAGCTTTGACCTAATTGGTCAATCAATCCAAACAACCATCACCAGTGTCTAATTAACAAACCCCTTCCTGTACACAATCCCCATAACACATTCCGCGTGTGCCAAACAACAGGAGCAGCACGTAGAGATAAGAATTGTTTTCATTCCCTTCCGTGAGCTCTCTCACTGCCTTCCCCAGGAGAAATCCTGGGAAGGATTTCTCTGTGAAGGGAGCTGCAGCAAACCCTAGGTGCATTTGTGGGGGGCTGCCATGAAGCCCCTTGCCCATGGCCATGTGTACCCACAGGAGTGGTGTTCCACTACCGGGAGGGCTCCATGCGCTACGCCTACACCTTCTCCGAGGCGCAGGAGGCTTGTGCCAGGATCGGTGCCAGCATCGCCACCCCCGAGCAGCTCTACGCCGCCTACCTGGGGGGCTACGAGCAGTGTGACGCCGGCTGGATCGCCGACCAGACCGTCAGGTGGGCACCCCTGTGCCTCGCCCTGTTGTGGTTTGCTTTTGGGTTTTAATTGTTTAATTTTAATGTGTTAGATTTTTCTATGTTAGAAAAACGGTTCGTTCCGTCCCCCTCTGTTCAGTTTCCCAAAGGGTTCTTCCCAGAAGTTGTTACCCCATATTTTTCCCTTGTATCAATCCCCATGTCAATCTCCTCCACCCCTCCCATGTTTCCAAACTCTCCCCTGTCAATCCTCTAAACCCAGCCCCTGCAGTTTTTCAGTTATGGTTTTTACACCCCTTTAGCCAGAAAGTTCTATGTCCGTGATGTTGTTTCCCTTCATCCGTTTGCTAATTATGTATTCACTCCTCCCTCCTTCTTCCTCATCGGTGTTAGGTTGATGTGAGCCCACCCCATGTGTGGTGGTGTTCGCAGGGGTCCCAGGATGAGGGATGGGATTAAAATCTTGACTCCATGTTTCAGCAGGCCGATTTATTATTTTATGATATATATTATATTAAAAGAAAAGTATCTATTAAAACTATACTAAAAGAAGAGAAGAAAAGATTTCATCAGAAGGCTGGCAAGGAATAGAAAGGAATGATAATAAAATCTTGTGACTGACCAGCGAGTCTGAGGCAGCTGGACTGTGATTGGCCATTAATTAAAAACAACCATGTGAGACCAATCACAGATGCACCTGTTGCATTCCACAGCAGCAGATAATCATTGTTGTTCTTTTCCTCTGAGGCTTCTCAGGAGAAAAAAATCCTGGCAAAAGGATTTTTCATAAAATATGTCTGTGACAACCATGCTCCTCCTTGCTAGCTCCTGATTGGTTTGTAGGCAGTCTCCTCCCCTGGACTGCCCCCCTTTATAAACTGTTGTAATCCTGTTGTCCGTGCTCTTCTGTGTGTGCTCCGTTGGAGTTTGTTTGGTTGTAACCCCTCTGTGTGCGCTCCCTTGGAGTTTGTTTGGCTGTAACACATCTGTGTGTGCTCCCTTGGAGTTTGTTTGGTTGTAACACATCTGTGTGTGCTCCCTCAGTGTTTGTTTGGTTGTAACACATCTGTGTGTGCTCCCTCGGAGTTTGTTTGGTTGTAACACCTTGGCACTTCTCCCTTTGGGTTTGTTTGGTTGTAACACATCTGTGTGTGCTCCATCAGTGTTTGTTTGGTTGTAACACCTCTGTGTGTGCTCCCTTGGAGTTTGTTTGGTTGTAACACATCTGTGTGTGCTCCCTCAGTGTTTGTTTGGTTGTAACACCTCTGCCTGTGCTCCCTTTGGGTTTGTTTGATTGTAACATCTGTGTGTGCTCCCTCGGAGTTTGTTTGGTTGTAACACCTTGGCACTTCTCCCTCGGAGTTTGTTTGGCTGTAACACATCTGTGTTTGCTCCATCAGTGTTTGTTTGGTTGTAACACATCTGTGTTTGCCCCCTCAGTTGTTTGTTTGGTTGTAACACATCTGTGTGTGCCCCCTCAGTTGTTTGTTTGGTTGTAACACATCTGTGTGTGCTCCTTTGGAGTTTGTTTGGTTGTAACTCATCTGTGTGTGCTTCCTTGGAGTTTGTTTGGTTGTAACACCTTGGCACTGCTCCCACCCGTTCCCCATGGAGTCAGCAGCTCCCCTGTGCTCTCTGCCCCAGGTACCCCATCCAGACTCCCCGTGAGGCCTGTTATGGAGACATGAATGGCTTCCCCGGGGTGAGGAACTACGGCGTGGTGGACCCTGAGGACATGTATGACGTGTACTGCTACGCTGAGGACCTGCCAGGTGCCCGTGGTGCCACCTCTTGCCCTCCTCTGCTTTTGCTCCCACGCTAACTTACCTCTGTAACCCGTTGTAAACCCAACAAGTGAAAAGCTGCAGGTGCTGTCTTTGGGTGTGGGGACCTGCTGTGTGCTTCCTAAAGCATTCCTGGTTCATTTTGGAGGGGTGGGGGCTCTGTCCCTGGCAGCAGGCAGTGCCCAGACTGGGCTGTGCCTGCAGTGATGTGCCCCAGACCAGCAGCACGCTGGGTTGGGTGGTTTGGGTTTGGTTGTGTGTGTGCTGTGCTTTGCATGAGGAGCAGGGCTGCAGATCCTGCCTGGCTCTGTGTGCCTGGGGGTGGCTGGTCCCTCCTTTTGGGGTCCCCACTGGTGGTGGCAGCTGCTCTGGGGTTGGTTGGTGGTGCCAGGCGGGTGCCAGGGGTGAGGGACTGGGAGGCAGGGGCAGCTGTGGGGTTGGTTAATGCTGTACTTTGGGGCAGTGTTCCCCAGCCCTCCTGAGCATGAAGCCTCACCCAGGTGCTCGCTGGGCTTGCAGGTGTCCTCAGAAATGTCCCACACATGGATTGCTCAGTGCAGGGCATGGATCTGCTCCTCTGCAGTCCCGTTCAGGGCCGCTTCAAAGTCTCAGCTCTCTTTGCAAGGGCAGGGATCAATCCCATGTGGCGTGAGAGCTCCAGATGTGCCTGCACTGTGACTTGCTGTGCATGGGCAGGGAGGCAGGCAGAGATGAAGGCAGGGATGCTGCACTCAGGAAGGCGGGGAAGCAGGCAGAGAAGCAGGCGTGGATGCAGGGAGGCAGGCAGGAAGGCAGGGAAGCAGGCAGGGATGCAAGGATGCAGGCAGGGATGCAGTGATGCAGGCAGGAGGGCAGGGAAGCAGGCAGGGATGCAGGTTGGGAAGCACTCAGGAAGGCAGGGATGCAGAAAGGCAGAGATGCAGGCAGGGAAGCAGGGAAGCAAGCACGAAAGAAGGCAGGGATGTAAGGATGCAGGCAAGGATGCAGGCAGGGAAGCACTCAGGAAGGCAGGGATGCAGGCAGGGAAGCACTCAGGAAGACAGGGATGCAGGCAGGGATGCAAGGACACAGACAGGAAGGCAGGGAAGCAGGCAGGGAAGCACTCAGGAAGGCAGGCAGGGATGCAGGCAGGGAATCAGGAAAGCAGGCAGGGATGCAGGGATGCAGGTAGGGAATCAGGCAGGGAAGCACTCAGGAAGGCAGGGATGCAGCAATGCAGGCAGGGATGCAGGCAAGGATGCAGGAAGGCAGGGATGCACATAGGGAATCAGGCAGGGAAGCACTCATGAAGGCAGGGATGCAGAAAGGCAGAGATGCAGGCAGGAAGACAGGGATGCAAGCAGGGATGAAAGCAGGGAAGCACTCAGGAAGGCCGGGAAGCAGGCAGAGAAGCAGTCATGGATGCAGGGAAGCAGGGAAACAGGCAGGGATGCAGGTAGGGAATCAGGCAGGGAAGCACTCAGGATGGCAGGGAGGCAGGCAGGGATGCAGGGAAGCAGGCAGAGATGAAGGCTGGAAGGCAGGTATGCAGGCAGGGTTGCAAGGACGCAGGCAGGGATGCAGGCAGGGATGCAGCCCTCCTCCAGCCCCCGGTGTCCCTCCACACCGCATTCTCCATCTCCACACCCTCTCCTGGGCTCATGCCGAGAGCGGACGAGCCGAGGGGGCTCCCTCCTCCCTTACCCCCCTCCCCATCTCTAACCCCCCTCTCCCTCCTCTCTCCCCAGGTGAGATCTTTCTGGAGACATCCCCGGCCAGGTTCACCCTGGAGGAGGCTGCGCAGCGCTGCCGGGCTCTGGGCGCGGAGCTGGCGAGCCCTGGCCAGCTGTACGCTGCCTGGAACGCGGGGCTGGACGCCTGCAGCCCCGGCTGGCTGGCCGATGGCAGCGTCCGCTACCCCATCGTCACCCCCCGGGAGCGCTGCGGAGGGGCCCTGCCCGGCGTCAAAACCATCTTCCTGTTCCGCAACCAGACGGGGTTCCCCGATGCCCAGAGCAGATACGATGCGTACTGCTTCCGAGGTAAACAGGGGCACCCCCGGCAGGGATCGGTGGGAGGGTCCCCCGGGTTGGGGTGCATGTGCCGGGGTTGTGCTGGGGTCCCTGGGTGCTCTCGGTGCTGCTGCTACGCTGTCGGGGCAGGGCAGGGGTGTTTGGTACCGGCTGAAGCTGCTGTGCTAGGACAGGGGTGCCCTGCATGCTGGTGGAGCTGAGAGGGGAGGCGTAACCTGCATGTCCTGACACTGCATGCTGACACCTCGATCCTCTGCACGGTCCTGACACTGCATGTGACAGCTCTCCATAGGGCAGGGATGCTCTGCAGGGTCCTGACACTGCATGTGACAGCTCTCCGTAGGGCAGGGATGCTCTGCTGGGTCCCAGAATTGCATGCTGACAGCTCTTGGTACAGCAGGGATGCTCTGCAGGGTCCCAGCAGCGCATGGTGACACTTCTCAGTAGGTCAGGGATGATCTGCAGGGTCCCAGCAGTGCATGCTGACCCCTCTCAGTACTGCAGAGATTCTCTGAGGGTCCCAGCGATGCATGTGACAGCTCTCCATAGGGCAGGGATGCTCTGCAGGCTCCTGACACTGTGTGCTGACAGCTCTTTATAGGGTAGGGATACTCTGCATGGTCCCAGAATTGTATGCTGACCCCTCTCAGTAAGGCAGGCATGCTCTGCATGGCTCCAGCAGTGCATGCTGACTGCTCTCAGTACTGCAGGAATACTCTGAGGGTCCCAGAATTGCATGCTCACCCCTCTCCATAGGGCAGGGATGCTCTGAGGGTTCCAGAAGTGCATGCTGAGAGCTCTCAACACTGCAGGGATGCTCTGAGGATCCCAGCAGTGCATGCTGACAGCTCTCAATGCAGCAGGGATGCTCTGCAGGGTCCCAGCAGTGCATGCTGACAGCTCTCAATGCAGCAGGGATGCTCTGCAGGGTCCCAGCAGTGCATGCAGACACACTGTGGCAGAGGAGGGCGGCCCTGCATGTCCTTGGTGCCAGTTCACTGTGACAGACCAGGGGTGTCCTGCATGGCACCATCACTCTGCGTGGGCTCTGTGGGCACAGCTCCAGGAGGGTTCATCCCCCTGGGCAGCAGGCCTGGGGGGCACTCCTGGGGCCCTGGGGCTGTGGGGCACAGCCTGCCAGGCTGGTTTGGGGTGATGCTGGGCAGCAAGGAGACCTGTGGGGAGCAGCAAGGTGAGCAGTGAGGCAGGACACAGGCTGGCAGGGATAAGGGGCACAGAAGGATCAGAGCTGTCCCTGCACTCCTCCTGCCTGACCCCACATCTCTGTGTGTCCGCTCAGGGCCGTGGGGGCTCCCAGTGTGGGGATGCTGAGCATCTCTGGGCCTCAGTTTCCCCATCTCTCTGGCTTAAGCAGGATGGACCCGTGCCATGACTCCACCACCCCTGTAACCCACTAACCCCCCATGCATGTCTGCCCTCCCCGGGGTGGGGATGGGGGTGTAGAGGAGGATCCCCACAGCGAGGGGAATGCAGGGATTAGGATCTGGCCCCACCACGTGCTGCTGAGCCCCACGGCTCCTGTTGGGGCTGGTGGCACTGCCAGCTCTGGTGGCACTGCCAGCTCCTGCTGGGGCTGGTGGCACTGCCTGGGAGGGCCTGATCCTCCCCCTGCTGACCCCATCTAGAAGGGGAAGGGGAGGCTGAGGAGAGCTGGGGTGCCAAGGCTCCAGGCCTGCTGTGGGGTGCGCTCATCTCCGAGCGCTGCGGAGCCAGGACCGGGCAGTAATATCCCACTTTCTTTCTGCCCACAGAAGGGACAAACTCTTTCCCTGAGGCTGCAGGAAAATACCAAGGCCAAGAGCCCGAGGAGAATCTCCTCCAGGAGATTGTCACAGTGGCAGAAAAGCTGGAGGAGCTGCAGCTGCCCCGAGCGCCCGTGGAGCTCGAGTCGCGAGGGGCCATTTACGCCGTGCCCCTCTTTGAGGACCCTGACCTGGGCAAGCCAAGCCAGACCCCTGGAGACACCCTGGGGCCACTAGCTACCTCTGTGTCCTCAGGTCACCCCATCCCACCTCCCCTTTCCCCACAGCCCCGGCCAGCCCCGAGGCAGGTCCTGTTTCAGCTGGGGAGCTCATCCCTGCCCAGGAGCACGGGGGACAGCGGGGGCTGTCATGGTGGTGCCAGGGCTGGGCACAGAGCAGCCGCAGATGGTGCCCAGGTCACCCCAGCTGTCCCCGTCCTTCGCCATGGATGGGGCACCGGAGTGTTGGTGTAGGGCAGTGCAGGGACAAAGGGACATCTGCGTGTCCCAGCATGCAGGGCAGTGCTGGAGCGGGGTTTGGCAGCACCAGGAGCGGCAGGAGGGAGCTGGCAGCTGGAGGGGCACCAGGCGAGGGGCAGCGGTGAGGGCAGAGCTCGGGCACAGCTCGGGCAGCCGCGCCCTGCGGAGGGGACAGGGGACAGCGTCACACGGGCTCGGGGCCACTCCCATCGCCCCACATAACTTGGTGCGAGCGGGATGGGCAGAGCTGGCAGTGCCCGCGGGATGGGCAGTGCCCGCAGGGTGGGCAGAACTGGCAGTGCCCGCGGGATGGGCAGTGCCCGCAGGATGGGCAATGCTGGCAGTGCCCGCGGGAGGGGCAGTGCCCACAGGGTGGCAGTGCCGGCACTGCCCGCAGGATGGGCATTGCCGGCAGTGTCCTTAGGGTGGGCAGTGCCCTCAGGATGGGCAATGCTGGCAGTGCCCGCAGGGTGGGCACCGTTGGCAGTACCCGCATCCCTGGGCTCTGGCTGGCAGTGCCCACAGGATGGGCAGAGCTGCCAGTGCCCGCAGAGAGGGCAGTGCCCGCAGTGCCCGTAGAGTGGGCAGCGCCCGCAGGATGGGCAGTGCCAGCAGTGACCTTAGGGTGGGCAGAGCTGGCAGTACCCGCAGGATGGGCACCTCTGACAGTGCCCGCAGCCCTGGGCTCTGGCCGGCAGTGCCCACAGGGTGGGCAGTGCCTGCAGGGTGGGCACCGCTGACAGTGCCTACAGCCCTGGGCTCTGACTGGCAGTGCCCACAGGGTGGGCAGTGCCCGCAGGATGGGCAGTGCCCGTAGGGTGGGCACCGCTGGCAGTGCCCGCAGGGTGGGCAGAGCTGGCGGTGCCCACAGGGTGGGCACCGCTGGCAGTGCCCGCAGTGCCCCGGCTGGCTGCCTGCCCTCACTGCCTTTCCGCCTTGCCCTTTGCAGAGGAGCCGCAGGCAGCAGCGCCGGGCAGAGCTGGCAGCGCATCCCCGGAGCGCCCGGCCGGAGGGCGGCACCGCGGGCACCCCACGGAGCCGGAGGGACCCACGGCTGCCCCCGCAGGTGACACGGAGCCTCCCGAGGGCTTTCCTCGCCCTCCCACACAGCGCCCGGACCCTCCACGGGACGCCTTGGGGCGGCCGGGCGGCCCTGCTACCCCCGGGCCACCCGGGCACCGAGTGCCATCGCCAACCGGTGCCAATTCTGCCACCTCAGAGAGCCGAGAAGGCGCTGGGAGCCCCCGCCGCGGGCACAAATCCGGCGGGGCCAGCACCCCCTTTTCCGGGGCTGAGGACGCCGAGCTCTCCGGAGATGTCGGGGAGAGCCCCGGGGTGTCCCCGCTGCCCCCCGCGCCCCCGCAGGAGGACGGAGAGGAGCACTCGGGGGCCGTGTGGTTCCCCTCGCCCGCAGCGACTCCGTGGCTGCCCCGCAGCAGCGCCGCACCGGCCTCGGGCACACAGCAAGGGATGCCCGCTGCACCTTCCGAGGAGGAGGAGGATGAGGATGATGAGGAGGAGGAAGAGCATCCCTCCGTTGGCACCGTGGAGGGTTTCCTTACGGCCGTTCCGGGAGAAGCAGGTGGGACCCGCAGGGATGGCCTCAGCTCTCCCCGTCCTGGCACCTCGGGGGTGGTGGTGCCAGGGACCCCCAGCTCGGCCGTGCCCCTGCCCGCCGTGCCCACCGAGCGGGCCAGCGTCGGGGCGGGCGCCTGCTCTGCCCGGCGTCCCTGCCGTGCCAGCCTTGCCCTCGGGGCAGCCGTGCTGGCCGCTCTGTGGCACTAGAGATAGGCGACACCTTTCCTTCACTGCTGCCCTCTGTCTGTCTGTCTGTCCGTCCGTGTCTCCTCTCTCTCTCTCTCTCTCTCAGCTGGGTAAGGGAAGGTTCCAGGTCTGGAGAAGCACATATTTGTCAAACAAATTGGTCTGATCTCTGCATGCACTTTAAATCTCTTCTACTTCTGTGAAGTGTTTTAATGACTGTTTCCATGAAAAAGCCCCGATAAGCGAAAGGCGGCCCCAGCCCCTGCTCTGACTAACCGTGGTACTAATAAAGGGAATTAATTAAAAGCTTTGTAGAACAAGCATCTCGGCGAGCTCTTCCCTTCGTCCTTGCGCCTCCCCCACTGACGAACTAATCCCTGCCCCCGGCCCTGCCCTGCCCTGCCCGGGAATGGGGTGGAAGGGACCCCTTGGTGGGGGGGGGTTGGGAGGGTTGAGGCTGCTTTGCACCCTCCATGAGCCCCCGAGGACTGACCCCACACTGCCCTGGGAGGGGGGTGAGGGCTGGGGTTGCTTTTCCCCCTCCATGTGTCCCCCAGGACTCACCCTGCACTGCCCTGAGAGGGCTGGGGCTGCTTTTCCCCATCCATGTCCCCTCCAGGACTGACCCTGCATTGCCCTGGGGCTGCTTTTGCCCCTCCATGTGCCCCCCAGGACTGACCCTCAGAGGGCTGGGGCTGCTTTTTCCCCCTCCATGTCTTCCCCAGGACTGACCAGGGGCTGCTTTTCCCCCCTCCATGAGCCCCCCAGGACTGACCCTGCACTGCCCTGGGGCTGCTTTTCCCCATCCATGTGCCCCCCAGGACTGACCAGGGGCTGCTTTTCCCCCTCCATCTGCCCCTTCAGGACTGACCAGGGGCTGCTTTTCCCCCTCCGTCTGCCCCTTCAGGACTGACCCTGCCCTGCCCTGGGAGGTGGGTGAGGGCTGGACGCTGCATGGCATGAGCAGGGGGACACACGGGGGACACAGAGCCCCACCAGGACCACCCTGCCTTGTGCAGCTCTCCCTAAAATCACTGCAGAGCCTTCGGGCCACATCCCGCAGGGGCTGAGATGGATGAGCAGAGGGAGCACGAGCTGCTGTGGGTGGGTGGGGGTCACCCCTGGGGTGATGCCGGCTCTGATGCCCATCCCAGTGCCAATCCCCTGCCCCATCCCGCTCCCTGCAGCACAGGGCACCATGTGGGGTCCTCGCCCTCCCTCCCCAGGGCATAACAAGAACACACACAGGGCTTAAGAAATGCCCTGAATTAGGAATTCCATTTGCATCCACAGCCTGGCAGCCTCCAGCTCTGCGATTTCCCCCCCAAAATTCCGAGTTCCCACTCTCCTCCTGCATTATGAGAGGCAGACAGAGAGGGCAGTGCCCAGCCCAGCCCCAGGGCACCAAGGAGGCTCTGTGCAGGGTGCCCAGACCCTGTGGCACGGCTGCATTTGCCTTGGCAAGGAGAGATGCCCAGAAGGAGCCAGCCATGGGACATTTTGGGTCACCCATTCTGTGCCATGCCTGGCTCTGCTGGGGATGGATGGGCTGCACAGGGAGCCACCAGCACTTCATGGGGAGCGTGAGGGTGGCAGCATTGTCCTTGTCACAAACCCAGGACCATAAAACAGGGCGTGATTGGGCTGGAATGGGTCAAGGACTGCGAGCAGCAGCCGTTCATCACACTGAGCTGGGAGCACACGCTGTGCTCCGAGTTCATTAATGACCAGAACGGGGGCAGTGCTGGCTGAGTTACCAGCCTTGGCCAGGCTGCAGGTGACACCAGAAGGACAGGACAAGGACACGGGGCTGGGATGTGCCAAAGGCTTTGTGGTCTGTGTGCTTCCCTCCCAAAACACTGCATCAGCCAGGGAAAAGCAGGAGCTGGGGTGGTTGTATTCACAGTGGTCTGAGGATGAGGGGAGAGATGAGGATCTGACTCCATGTTTCAGCAGGCTTAATTTATTATTTTAATAAATTATATTAATATATATTAGATTTATAATTATATTAATATATATTATATTAACATATACTAAAAGAATAGAAGAAAGGATTTCATCAGAAGGCTGGCTAAGAATAGAAAAAGAAAGAATGATAACAAAGGTTTGTGTCCCCAGCTGACTATGATTGGCCATTAATTAGAAACAACCACACGAGACCAATCCCAGATGCACCTGTTGCATTCCACAGCAGCAGATAACCATTGTTTACATTTTGTTCCTGAGGCCACCCAGCTTCTCATGACGAAAAATCCTAAGGAAAGGATTTTTCATAAAAAATATCTGCCCCAAGCTGAGCAGAGGGAGTGGGGCAGGGGCTGGCGTGGCAATGAGCCCAGGGGAGATAAGAGCACCCAGCTCTGAAGGAAAGGGAGATAAGAGCATCCATCTCTCACCTCTGTGCTCCAGGGGAGGCCAAAACCCCAGATTGGCCAGCTCTGGGCCAGGGATGCTGGGCTGTGCACACCCAGAGGTGGAAGGGAGGTGTGGGATTGCTCCAGGCACCTCCTGGTGCACCTGAGAGCCTCACCTGGCCCAGAGCTGGTGGCCCCAGAGCCAGCTCAGAGCCCTGCTTGCTGTGGGACACTGCAGGGCTGAGGATGTTGAGTCAGGGATGGAAAGAAAAACTCCACTCTTGAGGTGGATCAGAAGGCTCTGTTTAATGAGAGTCAAGGGTCTTTAATAATGGGACTCTCTAAGGTGATTGGTCTCAAATTAGAAACGTCTCACACTATTGGTGAGCTCAAAATGAGAAACATCTAATTGGCCTCAAAGTAGAAACACCTCACACTATTGGTGAGCTAAAAATCAGAAATATGTAATTGGCTTCAAAGTAGAAACATCTCACTTTATTGGTGAGCTCAAAATGAGAAACATCTAATTCGTCTGTAATTAGAAATATATCACACTGTTGGTGAACTCAAAATGAGAAATGTCTAATTGGTCTGAAGGCAGAAACATCTCACATTATTGGTGAGCTCAAAATGAGACACATCTAATTGGCTTCAAAGCAGAAACATCTCTGTTGGTGAGCTCAAAATCAGAAAAATCTGATTGGCTTCAAAGCAGAAACATCTCACATTATTGAACTCAAAATCAGAAAAATCTGATTGGCTTCAAAGCAGAAACATCTCACATTATTGGTGAACTCAAAATGAGAAAAATCTGATTGGCTTCAAATTAGAAACATCTCACACTAATGGTGAACTCAAAATGAGAAACATCTAATTGGCTTCAAAGTAGAAACATCTCTCTTTATTGGTGAGCTCAAAATCAGAAAAATCTAATTGGTCTGAAAGCAGAAACATCTCAAATTATTGGTGAGCTCAAAATGAGAAACATCTAATTGGTTTCAAAGTAGAAACATCTCACATTATTAGTGAGCTAAAAATCAGAAATATCTAATATCTAATAAATATCAGAAATATCTAATTGGCTTCAAAGCAATGAGAAACATCTAATTGGTCTGAAAGCAGAAACATCTCCCACTATTGGTGAGCTCAAAATCAGAAATATCTAATTGGCCTCAAATTACAAACATCTCCCACTATTGGTGACCTCAAAATTAGAAGTGTCTGATTGGCCTCAAAGTAGGAACACCTCACACTATTGGTGCCCATGAATAACACACTGTGGAGAACCACAACTCCAAACAATGCTGACAGAAACAGATAATAATTGTTTGAATTCTTTCCTCTACAATTCCCAGGCTCAGCCTGGCAGAAATCCTCTGATGTGAGGATGCCCAGGTGGCACCGCTGGGCACCGGGGAGGTGCTGAGCCCTGTGGTGAGCACGGCTGCTGTCCCTTGCAGGTGGCTGTGTCCCCAACCCCTGCCTGAACGGAGGCACCTGCGTGGAGGACGGCGCCCAGCTCACCTGCCTGTGCCTGCCCGGCTACGGGGGCAGCAGCTGTGAGAGACGTGAGTGCCCCGGTGCCAGCCTGGCCATGGGTGCCAGCCTGGCTTGTGAGCGCCATGGGTGCCATGTGAGTGCCCCGGTGCCACCCTGGCCATGGGCGCCAGCCTGGCCTGTGAGTGCCATGGGTGCCAGCCTGGCCTGTGAGTGCCCCGGTGCCAGCCTGGCCATGGGTGCCAGCCTGGCCTGTGAGTGCCATGGGTGCCATGTGAGTGCCATGGTGCCACCCTGGCCATGGCTGCCACCGTGGCCTGTGAGTGCCACCCTGGCTATGTGAGTGCCACCCTGGCCTGTGAGTGCCCTGGTGCCACCCTGGCCACATGAGTGCTACCCTGGCCATGTGAGTGCCATGGTGCCATCCTGGCTGTGTGAGTGCCCTGGTGCCACCCTGGCCACATGAGTGCCACCCTGGCCTGTGAGTGCCCTGGGTGCCACCCTGGCCATGTGAGTGCCACCCTGGCCATGTGAGTGCCATGGTGCCACCGTGGCCTGTGAGTGCCACCCTGGCCATGTGAATGTCACCCTGGCCTGTGAGTGCCCTGGTGCCACCCTGGCCATGTGAGTGCCCTGGTGCCATCCTGGCCATGTGAGTGCCACCCTGGCCATGGGTGCCACCCTGGCCATGTGAATGCCATGGTGCCACCCCGGCCATCTGAGTGCCCTGGTGCCACCGTGGCTATATGAGTGCCCTGGGTGCCACCCTGCCCATGTGAGTGCCATGGGTGCCATGTGAGTGCCCTGGGTGCCACCCTGCCCATGTGAGTGCCCTGGGTGCCCATGTGAGTGCCCTGGGTGCCACCCTGCCCATGTGAGTGCCCTGGGTGCCCATGTGAGTGCCCTGGTGCCACCCTGGCCACGCTGCCCAGCTCTCAGCAGCCCGGCGGGCACACAGGAGGGGCGATGAGGAGTTTGGGGTGAGGTGGGCTCCGTGCTCACCCTCTCCCCTCTGCCCTGGCACGGCTCAGCCCTGAGGAGCTGCAGCCCGGGCTGGGACAGCTTCCAGGGCTCCTGCTACCGACACTTCTCCACCCGGAGGAGCTGGGAGGACGCCGAGAGCCAGTGCCGGCACCACGGGGGGCACCTGGCCACCATCCTGACCGCCGAGGAGCAGGACTTCATCAACGGTACGTGACACTGCTGCTGTGTGACCCTGCTGCTGTGTGACACTGCTGTCCCCTCCCTGCTGCTGTTGGTGTGTGACATTGCTGTCCCCTCCCTGCTGAGCCCTGTGGGGCTGCGAGTTCACAGAAGGTGGAGCCCGGCCCTGCAGGGATGGATGGACACACAGACAGGCCAGGACAGGGATGGTGCATGCAGAGACGTGGGAGCAGACAGGTTCAGCCCTGAAATGTGTCCGGAGATGGGAACAGAGCTGGGGAAGGGGCTCTGGAGCATCTAAGGGAGCTCAGGGAGGGCTCACAGGGGACCTTTTCACTTTCTATAATTCCCTGACAGGAAGGTGGAGTCACTTGGGGGTCAGAGAGTGTCCAGAGAAGGGAACAGAGTGGGGAAGGGGCTCTGGGGGTTGGGGGAGAAGGGGAGAAGCCCTGAGGGTTATGGTGGGAGCTCAGCCTGGAGAAAAGGAGGCTCAGGGGGGACCTTGTCACTTTTTACAGGATGGAGTCACTTGAGGGTCGGGCTCTGGAGAGTGTCCAGAGAAGGGAACAGAGTGGGGAAGGGGCTCTGGAGCTCCTGAGGGTTATGGGGGGAGCTCATCCTGGAGAAAAGGAGGCTCAGGGGGGACCTTCTCACTTTTTACAAGGTGGAATCACTTGGGGGTCGGGCTCTGCTCCCAGGGAAAAAGGCTCAAGAGCAGGAGAAGCAGCACCAGGGCAGGGTTAGGTTGGATATTGGGAAAATTCCTCCATGGAGATGCTGCCCATGGCTGAAGGGGTTTAGGAGACCTGTGGATGTGGCACTTGGGGACAGAGGTGCCCCTGGCTGTGGGGGATGGCTGGGCTCGATGATCTTGTCCCTTTTCCAGCAAAATCCCGCAGTCCAGTGATGGCTGGGCAGAGCAGCAGAGGGGTGGGTGTGTAAATTTGAAAATTGGGTGTAAATGTGAAGGCAAAGCCAGGACCTGCCTGAAATCAGCCCTGGAGGGATGGGGGAAGGCAGAGCAGGGGAGAAGTGCTGTGGGAACGGGACAGGGAGCAAAGAGCCTGAAGGAACTGAGGGCGGCGGAGGAGGAAGGGGCAGGAGAGACCTGACACGGACAAAAAGGGACACAAAGAGACACAAAGGGACAGGCAGGGACTGGCTGGACCTGAAAGGGGACTGGGAGAGCCAGGTGCAGACAGGTGGGGACATGCAGAGACAGGTGGGGACTGGCAGGGCGGGGTGGCGACTCACAGGGACAGATGGGGACCTGCAGGGTGGGTGGGGACAGGAGAGGACAGGTGGGGACCTGCAGGGCCAGGTGAGAACTGGCAGGGCAAGGTGGGGACCAGCTGAACCAGGTGGGGACAGGTGGGGACCAGGGGGGACAGGCGAGGACCTGCAGGGACAGGTGGGACTGGCATAGCCAGGTAGGGACCTGCAGGGACAGGCGGGGACGGGTGGGGACTGGCGGGGACAAGTGGAAACCTGCAGGGACAGGTGGAGACCAGCAGAACCGGGTGGGGACTGGCGGGGACAAGTGGAAACCTGCAGGGACAGGTGGAGACCAGCAGAACTGGGTGGGGACAAGTGGGGAGAGTTGGGGACCTGCAGGGAGAGGTGGGGACCAGGAGGGACAGGTGGAGACCTGATGGACAGGTGAGGAGTGGCATAGCCAGGTAGGGACCTGCAGGGACAGGCGGGGACCTGCAGGGACGGGTGGAAACTGGTAAGGCAAGGTAGGGACCGGTGGGGCAAGGTGGGGACCTGCAGGGACAGGTGAGGACAGGCGGGGACAGGCGGGGACAGGCGGGGACAGGCTGGGACAGGAGGGGACAGGCGGGTCCGGGCTCTGCCGCCCTCTCCCGGCCGGTCCTGTCCTGCCTCCCCGGGGCTGAGGGGCAAAGGGGTTCCCCGATGTCCCTTTGGGGTGTCCCCAAACCTCCCAGAACCTTCCTGCTGCAGGACAAGGGACACCCCCAGGTCCCAAATCCCCCTGAGCGCGGCCCTTCAGCCCCCTCCTGACACCTGGCTGTGTCCCTGTCCCCAACACGCCCCGTGTACCCCAGGTGCCCTCCAGCCCCTCCTGACACACCTGTGTGTGGCCTTGGCTGTGTCCCTGTGTCCCACACCTGGCTGTGTCCCTGTCCCCACCACGCCCCATGTCCCCCAGGGGCCCTTCAGTCCCCTCCTGACAGGTGGCACCTGGCTGTGTCCCTGTCCCCAACACACCCCATGTTCCCAGCAGCCCTTCAGCCCCTTCCTGACACCAGGCTGTGTCCCTGTCCCCAACATCCCCTGTGTCCCCCAATATCCCTTCAGCCCCTCCTGAAGGTGGCACCTGGCTGTGCCCCTGTCCCAAACACGCCCCGTGTCCTGTCCCCACCATGCCCCGTGTCCCTTAGCAGCCCTTCAGCCCCCTCCTGAAGGTGGCACCTGGCTGTGTCCCTGTCCCCAACATCCCCTGTGTCCCCCAATATCCCTTCAGCCCCTCCTGGCAGGTGGCACCTGGCTGTGTCCCTGTCCCCAACACCCCCCCGTGTCCCCCAGACCAGTACAGGGAGTACCAGTGGATCGGCCTCAACGACCGCACCATCGAGGGCGATTTCCAGTGGTCTGACGGGAGCCCCTTGGTAAGTGGGGCTGCCACGCCCTGGGTGCCCTCACAGGGTGGGCACCACCAGCCTGGCACCTCCTTATCCTCCCCCCCAACTCGGGTTTTGGGGCTCCCAAACAGGAGCTGCCTGCCTCACCTGGCTGAGCATCCCCACTCCTAGCTAAGCTAACAGCAAACCTCATAGCACGACTAACTGTTGTAATCACACTTTTCAACTGATCTGCCTTCACAGTTATCCTAACAGGAGCTGCAATCCTACTTATTGCCTCTTTCACCCTATACAATCCACCTTATTGCCTCATTCACCTTATGCATGCTCATAATGACACAATGAGGTGTTGCAGACATGTTTTATGAAAAATCCTTTCCTTAGGGTTTTTCCTTCTGAGAAGCTGAGAAGCTTCAAGAACAAAATACAAAATATTGATTATCTGCTGCTGTGGAATGCAACAAGTAGATTTTTGATTAGTCCATGTTGGTTGTTTCTAATTAATGGCCAATCACAGTCTGGCTGGCTCAGACAGAGAGCCTGAGCCACAAACCTTTGTTATCATTCCTTCTTTTTCTATTCTTAGCCAGCCTTGTGATGAAATATTTTCTTCTATTCTTTTAGTATAGTTTTAATGTAATATATATAATAAAATAATAAATCAAGCCTCCTGAAACATGGAGTCAGATCCTCATCACTGCCCTCAACCTGAGACTCCTGTGAACACCGTCACAATGAGGCACTGTCCCATCCCACATCACATCAGTCCAAAACTTGTCCACACCAAAACATCCCCTCATAGCCCTAAATATAATCCCCATAATGCTCCTAATCCTCAAACCTGAACTAATCTCTGGTATCCCCATATGCAAGGATAGTTTCAACCAAAATATTAGACTCTAAAAAATAGAAGTTAAACCCTTCTTACCTGCCGAGGAGAGGTAAAACCAGCGAGAACTGCTAACTGCTATCTGAATATAAAACCTCAGTCTCCTTACTTTGTAAGGATAATAGTAACGCAATGGTTTTAGGAGCCACTCATCTTGGTGCAGGTCCAAGTGAAAGTCATGGACCTCTCACTAGTCCTAAATACATTCATGCTGTGAAAAACGCCAATCACTTGTTTTTAAAATTTTAAAAGTTTAATAGTAATAAAATGTTTATAAGAATAGTAATACAATTAGAGTAATAACAAATTGGACAATTTGAATTAGGACAATATGAGACAATAGAGACCAAGAGTTATGGATGTCCGGGTACCTTTTTCTGGGCAGCACGAGCTCGAAATAGGACCCATGTTAACAAAGGATTAACCCTTAACAGCAACAGCCTGTTGCATATTCATACACTTCATACATGATGCATAAATTCCATTCAAACAAAGGATTCTGTCTGGTCATCGTCAACTTCTTCCTCTGAATCCTAACAGCGCCTTTGAAGTGGGAAGAAGTTAGTTTCTTCTGATAATGGAGCAATAAATTAATTTTCTCTGAAAGATTCAGGTGTCCTGTGGCTGCTATCTTGCTGCAAGTCCTTTCTTTAAAAAAGCATCCTACATAGCATCGTTTGTATTTTAACAATTTTTATAACCTAAAACTATATTTAACACAGTCCTTAAGAGAATTAACACAGCATTACTTTCTAACACAACACATATCATATTCACTTTAATATTTGCGAAAAGCCAATCATAAAATACATTTTTCACAATACTCTTAATCCCAGTAACCCTCTCCACCTCCATCCTATTTCCACTTCTATCCAAGAACAACCCCAGGGAGCCACACCTGGGCTTTGCCATGGAGATGGCACCTCTGTCCCAATGGGGGTGGCACTGCCAGGATGCTGCCCCCCACACCTGCGGGGTGTGCTGGATGCCCCCTGCACCCCCTGTGCCCCCTGTGCCCACAGCTCTACGAGAACTGGCACCCCGGGCAGCCTGACAGCTATTTCCTCTCGGGGGAGAACTGCGTGGTGATCGTGTGGCACGACGGTGGGCAATGGAGTGATGTGCCCTGCAACTACCACCTGTCCTACACCTGCAAGATGGGGCTGGGTAAGCTGGGTTGTTCGTGGAAGCATAGAAACCGCACAATTTTTGTGAAATTGTAAAGTTGTAAATTTGTGAAAATTGTAAATTTGTGAAAGCTGCATGTTTATTACAGCAATTATTAGGATGGCTCCCCTTAAAATGACATGAGTGCCTCTGGGAACTCCAGATCCTTCTTTAGCTCCCTCTCAAATCCATACGCATGCAATTGCACAATTGGTCATAATTTCATTGTTTCACAAGTTCACAGTAGGTTCATACATATTCATTTTTACAAATTTCACGTGACATTTGCCGCTAATTTTTCTTTATCAGCAAGAATTCCTGGTTCAGGTTGCCCTGCTCTGTCTGCCCTCCCCTTTAATCTCTGTCCTTCACTGAAGCAGTTTCTTAGAGCATAGGTTTTCAGGAGAACAGGCAGTCAGATTAAACAGCAATGTTCGCAAGCTACAGAGCTAACTCAAAGATGTACATTTCACCTCAATCAAAATGGATTTCTGGAAAATTTCCACTCTGTCTCACCCCCCACACCGAGGAGGGGCTTCGCCACCACCTCCACAGCGGGGAAACGAGTCCTGGGCATGGCACCCTCAGCCTGTTTGGGCTTTCTGGGGCTTGCTCTGGGCTGGGGGGGCTTTGCTGCAATGCCCCTGTTTGTGCTCCAAGCTGGGGGGGCTTTATCCCCATTTGGGCTCTGAGCTGGGGGGGCTTTCCACTGTTTAGGCTTTCTAGGCTGGGAAATGCAATGTTCCTGTTTGGGCTCCAAGCTGGGGGGGCTTTACCCCGTTTAGGCTTTCTAGGCTGGGAAATGCAATGCCCCTGTTGGACTTTCTGGGCTGGGAGGGCTTTATCCCCATTTGGGTTCCGGGCTGGGGGGGCTTTACTGCAATGACCCCGTTTGGACTCTGAGCTGGGGGGACTTTACCCCTGTTTGGGCTCTGGGCTGGGGGACCTTTATCCCCATTTGGGTTCTGGGCTGGGGGGGCTTTACCCCTGTTTGGGCTCTAAGCTGGGGGGGCTTTATTGCAATTCCCCTGTTTGTGCTCCAGGCTGGGGGGGGGCTTTATTGCAATATCCTTGTTGGGGCTCCAAGCTGGGGTGGCCTTAACCCTGTTAGGGCTCTGGGCTGGAGGGTCTTTACCCCTGTTTGGGCTTTCTGGGCTGGGGGGGGGGCTTTATTGCAATGTCCCCATTTGGGCTTTTGGGGGCTTTACTGCAATTCCCCCTTTTTGAACTCTGGGCCGGGGGGGCTTTACTACAATGCCCTGTTTGGGTTGTCTGAGCTGGGGTGGCTTTATTGCAATGCCCCCATTTGGGCTCTGAGCTGGGGGGGGCTTTACCCCCATTTGGGCTCCAAGCTGGGGAGGTTTTACCCCCGTTTGTGCTTTTTGGGCTGGGGGGGCTTTACTGCAATGCCCCTGTTGGGGCTCGGGGGGACTTTATCCCCCTTTGGGCTTTCTGGGCTGGGAAATGCAATGTTCCTGTTTGTGCTCTGGGCTGGGGGGGGCTTTACTACAATGACCCCCCCATCCTTGCAGTGCAATGCGGGCCCCCCCCTGCCCTCATCAACGCCCGAGCCTTCGGCAGAGCCAAGCAGCGCTACGAGATCGGCTCCACCACCCGCTACCGCTGCCGGCCCGGGCTCACCCCGCGGCGCTCGCCCATCATCCGCTGCCGTGAGGATGGCACCTGGGAGCCCCCCCAGCTTTCCTGCCGGCCTGGTGAGTGCTGAGCCTGCCCCCGAACCCCCCCATCTCGGGTTGTGTTGATAGTTGCTGCCCCGAGATGTTGTCTCGGTTTTGGAAAGAGAGGAGTCTGCTAAGGAAGGCAGGAGGCTCCCCTGAAATGGAGAATGTGAACCCTCCCCACCTCTCTGAATTGCTATAAATTTTAAATTGAGGGGCTCTCAGGAAAAAATATGGGAGCAGGAAATAACAGCTCTTTAATAGGGAAAAGAAAAAAAATATAAGAAGATAAAATAAACAATGCAGTTCACTAGAACAACACTGACAGAGTCAGAACCCAACCTGACACCCTGTGGGTCGGGGTGTTGGTGGCAGTCCCATTGGAATTGTGGCTGCAGCCCTCCTGCAGTGTCAGGGGTGGTTCTGTTGGAGCAAGAGGGATCTGTAGAGAAGGATGTATTCTTCCTCTGAAGATCCAGTGGAAGAAGAGACAACTGCTGCTCCTCTGGGAAATCCAATGGAGAAAGCCGTGCTGGTGTCTCAAAACCTCTGGATTATATCTGGGTAGCAATGCTTGGCTCCTCCCCCTGGGCGGAGCATCTCCCAATGGGATGTTATAGTTCTTATCAGCCATGCAGTGACATTCAATAGTCTGTTATCAGCAGATGTCCCCTTCCCAGGGTGGTGTGAATGTGGTCACTCAAAGAGAGAGATAAAGCAAACTGCCCACTTGACAAAGATAATCTGCCATACAGATGGTAATGGAAAACATCTTGCATTGCAATCTTCAACAGATGTGCAGGATGTCTCTGTTTCGGCCTGTGCGGCTGAAGAACAAGTCTGCACTGTTCAGTTTTTGGTCTTGAGGTTGTGTATTAATTGTTATCTATAATTTTTTTTCTGCCCAGCTGAGGTCTGTGACACCGGCAAGGGGGGATATTTACAGACACAAACGAGATGGGGCTGCTCTGGAAAGTGCCTCGAGCTGTTTTATTTTTCAGCATCAGTCTCATTACATGGTTATGGCAATGGGAAGATGCCAACAGCTCACATTCCAGGCAGCAAGCCAAAAATCTTAATGTTACAACTTACTTTATAAGCTTCTTGACCAATCACACAAAGCAAAAGCACATTGACAGCAGTTCTATCCAATTACCATAAGCACAGGTACCTTTGGTTGAAACAATGCTTACTTATTTCCTATACAATACCTGCTTGTGAGCCTTAGAACACAACACACAGAGCTCCATTATTAACCTTTAACCTTCCTAATATCTTGCTAGATAAACTTTCTGCAGCTTAGAGAGCTATTCAGACAAGCGTTAATACACAGGCCATTGTTCTATCTGTCCTTGCTTTTTCTACAGTTTAAATAATTTTTCTGCTGACCTATCTCATGGCTGCTGCTTAGTTCTACTCACAGTTCTGCTGTCTCTGGGGCCTGCCTTTTGCAGCTTTCCCAAAACCCTCTGATTTTGTGGATTCCCACAGTCTGCTCAGCAGAGCAGCCACAGGCACTCTCTGTGTTGTCCTTTTATACTACAAGCTACGTATAACATATTTACACTTAATTCCCAATACCCATCACCTATGTTAGACAGTGCACTTCTATTCTAAATATAACATATTTATAATTACTTCCCAATACCCATTACCTATGTTAGACAGTGAGCTTCTACTCTAAATATAACATATTTATAATTACTTCCCAATACCTATCACCTCTGTTAGACAGTGAACTTCTACTCTAAACCAATCCCAAAGTGCCAGCATCACAGCAGAAAATGGAGAAGAAGAAGAAGAAGAAAGGCTGGACATGCCCAGATTCCTCCATCTTGTCCCCATAACCAAAAATCCTAAAATCTACATTTTTTACCCTGTGATCATTTTGTTATTACACCATTCAAACCTGTGTGACTTTCACGTCCTCATACAAAGCTGGTAACTCGCTCCAAGGGTCAAAATCAAATCCCCAGGTGCTCTGGGCAGCATGCCAGTGTTATAAATGATGAAATTGAGAGCCAAACTTATAAGAAAATTTAGCAATGATTTATTAATTTGTCAGCAAGACCGAGTTTCGATCATCAAAAACCACCACAGCCAAGGGCAGCGTCGTGCCCGGGTTTGGCGCTGGGTGAACACACGGACCTGACCTCCAAAATGTCAGAGTCTCCCCTGTTCACAATTGCTGCTCCACGCAGAGAGTTTTTATACAGTTTATTCTGCCCGAGGTAGAGATGACCGAATGTTCTTTGTGTTCCTTCAAATGATAACCGCGGCTTTACATGTGCAGAGCTAGACAAAAGTCCAGTCCAGGTGTCCAGATGTTGTCAGAGAACTTCAGGGAAGTCAGTATTCAGATGTAACAGGGTGGCACCGGTAATCATCATGGCAGATATAATCTTCGAGGTGAAAATCACTCTTGAGTGGTCCTGTGACCCAGGGAAGCTGGTGATTATCACCTGGAAGCTTCTATTCTTACGTTAAAAACTCCGAAGTTATCTCAACTTAGTCTTGGAACTAGATGAATATGAATAAGACACTGCTCTTGACCAGGGTGGTCAAAAGACATAGTTTGGATCTTACAATATTTTATACATTAATAGCATGAATTATCTCTATCATATACTACATCAGGGTCTCCGAGCCCCCTGACGGGGTCTTCGACAACTCTGGCCACCCAGGGGGATGTACTGAGTTCTGACACCCCTTTGGTGGTGCTTTCCCTTCATCTGGCACTTCTGTGTCCCCCCAGGTGTGGCTGAGCCCCCCAACAAGTGAGGGGGTCCCCAGTGCCTGGACTGGTGTGGATGGCGACAGCACTGGGGGACCTCGATGGAGTGAAACCTCGCTGTTGGGTGTCTGCCCCCTTTGTTTGTTTTATATCTGTACAAAAATATCCTAAAAAAAATTAAAAGAGCCCATTGAAAGGAGCCCCCAGAGCCCCAAAATGCAGCGCAGGAATTTTGTCCTCAAAGTCACAGCAGAGCTGAAATCCAGAGGACACCACGGGCAGAGACGTGCCAGCATCACCCTCCCATCCAGCTGGGGGTTGGCATGGGGACATCCGAGCTCTGCTGCAGCTCAGCGCCCACCCAAAGGGGTCTGGGGGGGCTCCTGCACCTCCCTGGAGAGGCAGAAGCTGCTGCAGCAGGCTTGGAGTGGGGACCTGCTGCCCAAACCCCCTCCCCGTGCTGCTGTGGGCATTAAAACCAGTAAACAGATGGCACAGAGTGGTGAGCTGGTTATTTGCGGAGGGGCTGGCACAGGGGTGGGTGGCACTGCACAGCCCCAAAGCAAGGAGGGTGGCAGCAGGGGGGAGCCTGGGCACAGAGACACCCCCAGGAGTCACAAAAACAGGGATAAACCACCCCAAAATGCCCCCACATTCCAGAGACATCCCCAGGAACCACAGAAATAGGGAGAAATCACCCAAAATGCCTCCACATCCCAGAGACACCCCCAGGAGTCACAGAAACAGGCGGAAACCACCCCAAAATGCCCCCAAATCCCAGAAACACCCCCAGGAGCCACAAAACCGGGTCCCAAAGTGTCCTCACATCCCAGCAGAGCTGGGCACCCTCAGAAGCCACAGAAATGGAGACACCACCACTCCTGTGGGGAGTCCCAAACACCCCACAGGGTGTCCCAAACACCCCACAGGCAGTCCCAAACACCCACAAGGAGTCCCAAACGCCCCAAAAAGGTGTCCTAAATACCCCACAACTTGTCCCAAAACACCCACAAGGTGTCCCAAACACCCCATAAGGAGCCCCAAACACCCCGCAGGGTATTCCAAACACCCCACGAGAAGTCCCAAACACTGCACAGGGAGTCCCAAACACCCCACGACGTGTTCCAAACACCCCATAAGGTGTCCCAAGAGCCTCACAAGGTGCTCCAAACACCCCATAACATGTCCCAAACGCCCCACAGGGAGTCCCAAACACTCCATAACATGTCCTAAACACCCCACAATGTGTTCCAAGCACCCCACAAGTAGTCCCCAAACACCACACAAGGTGTTCCAAAGAGTCCCAAACACCCCACAGGGAGTCCTAAACACCCCATGAGGAGTCCTAAACACCCCATAATGTGTCCCAAACACCCCACAAGGTGTTCCAAACACCCCACAGAGAGTCCCAAATGCCCCACAAAGGTATCCCAAACATCCCACAGGGAATCCCTAACACCCCATAATGTGTCCCAAACACCCTACAACATGTCCCAAACATCCCATAAGGAGTCCCAAACACCCCATGTGTCCCAAATACCCCACAAGGAGTCCCAAACACTCCCCAAGGAAGTCCCAAACACCCCACAAGCCTCAAGAGGTGGGACATGGGCACCCTTTCCATCAGGGGATGCACCAAGAACCCACACCCAGCCCTACCAGAGGATGCACAAACCACCCAAACCTTCTGGGAGAAGATCACCCCTCCTTCCTCACCTCCAGCTCTCTGCCCAGGTGATGAGCTCTGGTTTCCCACCACTGTCACTCACATATTTTATGAAAATCCTTTCAGTAGGATTTTTCTCCTGAGAAGCTGAGAAGCCTCGGAAAAAAAAAAGCTAAACAATAACTGATGGCTGTGGAATGTGGTCTGGAGATGGTTCACCAACGGGTGCATCTTTGGTCTCATGTGCATTGTTTTTACTTGATGACCAATCATGGTCCAGCTGGGTTGGACTCTCTGGTCAGTCACAAGATTTTATTATTTATTCCTTTCTAGCTTTCTGACATCTCCTTTCACTTTCTTTAGTATGGTTTTAGTATAGCATTTTCTTTTAATATAATATATATATGCCATAAATAATAAATCAGCCTTCTGAAACATGGAGTCTAGGTGTTCTTATCTCTTCCCTCGTCCTGGGGACCCTCAAACACCAACAAACCACCACTGTCCCAGCTGTTCAGCCCAATGTCCTCACTTGCCCACAAAGCAGTAGGAGCCCTAGGTCCTCCTTTCTCTTTCTTTAGTATATAATTTTCTTTTAATATAATATATACATCATAAAATAATACATCAGCCTTCTGAAACATGGAGTCACAATGTTCTTATCTCTTCCCTTGTCCTGGGGACCCTCAAACACCACCACACCAGCGCTGTCCTGTGTGTCCCCAAACCCCACCAAACCACCCCTGTTCCAGCTGCCCAGCCCTGTGTCCTCACTTGCCCACGAAGCAGCAGGAGCCGTAAGTCCTCCTTTCTCTTTCTTTAGTATATAATTTTCTTTTAATATAATATATACATCATAAAATAATGCATCAGCCTTCTGAAACATGGAGTCACAATGTTCTTATCTCTTCCCTTGTCCTGGGGACCCTCAAACACCACCACACCAGCGCTGTCCTCTTTGTCCTCAGACGCGGCCAAACCACCCCTGTCCCAGCTGCTCAGCCCTGTGTCCTCACTTGCCCATGAAGCAGTAGAAGCCGTAGGTCCTCCTTTTTCTTTAGTATAGTTTTAGTGTATCATTTCAATATAATATACATAATAAAATAATAAATCAGCCTTGTGAAACATGGTGTTCTCATCTCTTCCCCTGTCCTGGGGACCCTCAAACACCACCACACCAGCACTGTCCCATGTACCCCCAAACGAACACCACCATACCACCGCTGTCCCAGCTGCTCAGCCCCGTGTCTTCACTTGCCCACAAAGCAGTAGAAGCCGTAGGTCCTCCTTTCTCTTTTTTTAGTACAGTTTTAGTATTTAATTTTCCTTTAATATAATACATACAATAAAATAATAAATCAGCCATCTGAAACATGGTGTTCTCATCTCTTCCCTTATCCTGGGGACCCTCAAACACCACCACACATGGGCCGTCCCCTGTGTCGTCAGACAAACCCCACCACACCAGCGGTGTCCCATGCGTCCTCAAACACCGCCACACCAGCGCTGTCCTGTGTGTCCTCAAACAAACACCACACCAGCGGTGTCCCAGCTGCTCAGCCCCGTGTCCTCACTTGCCCACAAAGCAGTAGGAGCCGTAGGTCCTCATCTCCTTGCTGGGGAAGCCGAAGCTGCGCACGCCGGGCTCGGGCAGCCCTCCGCATCGCTGCCGGGGCGTGGTGATGGGGTAGCGCACGCTGCCGTCCGCCAGCCAGCCCCCGTCACAGCGATCCAGCTGCGAGAACTTCCAGGCTGAGTAGAGCTGGCCCACCTTGGCCAGGGCAGCACCCTGGTTTCGGCACGCCTGCGCCGCCTCCTTGAAGTTCAGGTGGCCCCGGATGAAGTAGACTTGGCCTGGAGGATGGAGAGGGTGTTGCGTTGTGATTTCAGGGTTTAGCTCAGAAATTCAGGTCCCTCCCCTGATAATTCCCTCCCAGGTGTGTCAGTCACCTCTCCTTTCCCCTCCCAGCACTGTCTGTCAGTCCTGGAATTCCAGAAGGGCATTGAGTGATTGGCACATTCAAACCCCTGGGGGAGCGCTGGGCCATCCAGGTGTCCTTTGTCCCTCTCCTCCTGTACCTGCTTGGTGACTCCCTACCCCTTCCCTGCCCCTCTCCCCAGGGTTAAAGGAGCAGCAACCACGGGCTCAGGGAGTTCTGTTGGAGCTGGTGCTGCATTCAGAGCCCTGTGGGCCAGAATAAAGCTCTGCATCCAAACCCTCCATCAGAACCGACTCCTTTCCTTCACCATCACCTTAAAGCTTGTCCAGCAGAGATAAACCCGAGGAAGAGACCCTGCTATGGGGGAAGATCCATCCCACCACCACCAGAGCTCCTGCAGGCCTGGACTTGTCTCCATGCACCCAACTGCAACATCTAGCCAGCCAAAAGTGTCTATGGGGTGAAACACCACATACCCAGCCAGCCCAAAGTGTCTCTGGGGTGAAACACCACAGTTGCCACTATTTGGTTCAGCATCAAGGGCCAGACAAGCTCAGGCATGTCCCATCTGGCTATATTGGTAATATTCCAATATAAGAGGGGACACGGCAGGTGAGCAACCTTCCTGCAAACAACTGTCACCGTCACATTTGCTGAAAAATCCCCTTGCCCAGGATTTTTCTCCTGGGAAGCTGAGAAGCCTCAGAGAAAAATGAAAACAATATTATACGATTTGCTTCTCCTGTGTTTTGCTGCTTTGGACATTGTTTACCAACAGGTGGCTGTTTCATTGGTTTCATGTGAATGAAAGTCCACATGTGGCCTTGAAGTTCAGGTGGCCCCAGATGAAGTAGACCTGGCCTGGGGGATGGAGGGGGGACACCACAGGTGAGCACCCTTCCTGCAAACAACTCTCACTGTCATATTTTCTGGAAAACTTCTCTGCCCAGGATTTTTCTCCTGGGAAGTTGAGAAGCCTCAGAGAAAAAGGAAAACAATAATTCTCTGATTTGCTTCTCCTGTGTTTTGCTGCTTTGGAATGTGGTTTGGACATTGTTTACCAACAGGTGGTTGTTTCATTGGTTTCATGTGAATTGTTTTTCACTCAATGACCAATCACAGCCAAGCTGTGTCAAGGCTCTGGAAAGAGTCACGAATTTTTCATTAGTATCTTTTAGCCTTCTGTCTGTATCCTTTCTGTATTCTTTAGCATAGTTTTAGTATAGCATTCTTTAATATAATATACATCATAAAATAGTAAATCGGCCTCCTAAGAACATGTAGTCAGATTCATCACTCCTTCCTTCGTCTGGTGCTCCAGATTGCAATGCAAGATGTTTTCCATTACCATCTGTATGGCAGATTATCTTTGTCAAGTGGGCAGTTTGCTTTATCTCTCTCTTTGAGTGATCACAATCACACCTCCCTCGGGAGGGGACATTGCTGATAACAGACTATTGAATGTCACTGCATGGCTGATAAGAACTATAACATCCCATTGGGAGATGCTCTGCCCAGAGGGAGGAGCCAAGCATTGCTACCCAGATATAATCCAGAGGTTTTGAGACACGAGCATG